CTACCTATAACCTAACCTATTTATATAGCTACCCGTAGGTATCTATAGTATAGGTAATTCGAAGCCTAGACCGAACCGTATTATCGCCTGGATCTGGATGAAGGCGTCTGACAGGAAGAACCGAGGAATGCTGTTTGACGTTATATAGCACCGCATTGACGCGGACGCCACGGCACGTGAATGGCGTTGGGTTCTAGGGATGACAGCGTCAGCTCGTGCGACACGTCGTTTCATGCTTCACGCAACCACTCTATCTCAGTACACGCAGCCAAGGTACCACCGAAGACCTGCGATCATAGTCTACTGCCGATTGCTGTTCATCAACAAAACAACTTTACATCCTAAATCACAATGTCAACGCCGTCTCCGGTTGTCGCTCTAGGTGGCAACGCTGTCATCACTGCTATCTTTGGCGGCGCGCTCGGGTACGCGTTTGGGCGAAGACGCGTCCTCACCATCCTCGCCAACTTCTACGGTGCCATCTTTGTCGTCTTCGGCACCAACGCCATAGCCAGACCAGAGTCTGCTTTGTCTTTCTTCGAATGGAAGTACCCAGCAGACCCGTACTCTCGCGAGCTCCTTGATCGCGTCATGGTCATCTACGGTGCGCGCGACATTTTCATGGGTCTAGCTCTCTTCGCCGCCACACTCTTCGGGACCAGGAAGTCTCTGGGTGCGACCTTGATTGCGGCGAGTGCGATGCCAGCTGTGGATGGGCTCATGTGCAGGATGAGCGAAGGGGGCGAATGGGGGCACTGGGGGTATGTACCGACATTGGCCATTGTTGGTGCCCTCCTGATGCGATGAGTCGAGCTTGTAAGGTCTTACATTACCAGCCCCTGTGGGCGTTTGGTCGGTTTAAACGCATGCATTGCAGAACACGAGGATAAGTTTTCAAGCAACAGTCTTATTTAAAATTCCTATTCCAACGCCTACGTCATCTTCTCCCCACGATCTCATGATGAGCCCAATGCCTTGTTCTTCAATGCCGTTGAAGCCGTTTCCGCTAATTGAAACAGAGATCCTGAAGCCATGATCTCGAGTACGCTCACCTGCAAACCCAGCAGTTGCCTGAACCATCTCCTCAGCTCAGTCGCCATTAGCGAATCAAGGCCAATCTGCGCCAAACTCACGCTGGTGTCGACATCTTCGCCAGGCTTAAGCATGAAGTCGTACACCTTTGCACCAATCTCCTGGGCCAGGAACTCGATGTTGGCCTTGTCCGAGAGGAGATCCGGATTCTCTGAAGCTTGGTTCAAAAACGTCTTCAAAGCACTGGAGTCACCGCCTGACTCGTCGGCCTGCTTGTTGCGTATGTTGTGATAGGCACCCATGCGGCGGTCGCGTCTCCAGTTGCAGCGGTTGTTGCGATCCTCCAGGTGAAGTTCGGATCGGAGACCCATCACAACCTGGCTCTCGTTCCTCCACGCCTTGGGCGGGCGGCTCGATGGTGTTGCCTCGTAGGCAGACAGGTTGCCCTTGGCGGCAAGGATGGAGTGTTCCACATGGTCGAGGTACTCCTTCTCGCCGAGGAAGTAGATGCCCTGGGCTTTGGTGTTCCGCTGGGCAACGGCACTTTCAGCCACGAAGCCCACGCCCTTGATGGGGCAGATGTTGAGGATCGCAGTCGGAAGGCCGAGCCCAAGGCGGTACTGAGTGAAAGCCTCAAGGTATGTGCTTGCAGCGCTGTAGTTGCCTTGACCCGGCTGGTCGACGACGGTGACGACTGAACTGGCAAGCCAGAAGAAATCCAAGGGCTGGTTCTCCAGCGCATTATGGAGATTCCACGCGCCGGTGACCTTTGGCTTTGCTACTTGGTCCCACTGCTCCCAAGTCATGTCGACCATCGGACTGTCTCTCAACACCATTGCCAGATGGAACACACCCTTGATAGGCTTAGATGATGAGCTGACAGCAGCCTTAACATCCTCCATATTCTCGACTCCACCAGCGACCGTTGCAACCTTGGCTCCAAGAGACTCGATCTCCTTGATGGCAACCTTGCTCTCGTTGCTAACGCCCGCGCTCCGGGAGAGGATCGTCAAGTGGCGGGCGCCATGCTCAACCAACCATGTTGACATGGACTTGCCCAGACCTCCAAGACCTCCTGTCAAGAGATACGTAGCCTCTGGGTCGAACTTAATCGACTTTGCAAGCGGCTTGGCGTCAACTTGAGCAGAGAGATTGTCCATTGAGACGATGACTTTGCCAATGTGGCTGCCATGTTGCAAGTGACGGAAAGCATTGACAATGTCACTCGCAGGGAAGTGAGTCTGCTCCGGGATAGGACGGATGTGTCCTTGCTCCCAATACCTGAGGAACTGCTCCAACAACTGGCGGAAGTACCTAGGTCTTTTCCTTGCAAACTGCACGCCGTCAAAGCCAACATATTGTCGGCTGCCAATGAAGGGGTTGAGATCCAGCTTGCCATAACCCAGGAGGTCACGCTTTCCAATCTCGACCATCATGCCGAACTCTGCAACACACTTCCATGAAGCATGGAGCAGTGGTCCCGTCAGAGAGTTGAGCACGAGGTCGACGCCACGACCTCCAGTCTCTCTCATGACACCGTCTAAGAAGGACTCGTCACGGGAGTTGAAGATACGGCTGCGCGGAATACCATAGGTATTCATGAGGTAGTCGACCTTGTCGGGGCTTCCAACCGTGACAAAGATCTCCGCTCCGATCATACGGCAGATCTGGATGGCTGAAAGGCCGACACCACCACAGCCAGCGTGAATCAGGACTGACTGGTCTTTTTGGAGGTGGCCGATGTTGATGAGGCCATGGATCACGGTCGCGAACACAACCGGAACACCTGCCGCGTCTTGGAAGCTGAGGTTGTCGGGAAGCTTGGCGGCGTGGTAGCGTTGGAGGATGGCCTTGGTGGCCAGACACCCTTCAGGAGCGAAGGCGAAGACGCGATCGCCGATCTTGAACTCGTCGACGTCTGAGCCGACGCGGGTGACGACTCCGCCGAGTTCAATGCCGAGCTCCATCTGGACGCTACCAACAGGGTTGATGACACCCACTAAGAGACACAAAGTTAGCAAATGTTGATGAGAAACATGGTAAAGATGCACTTACTGGCTGTGAGAACGTCCTTCAAGTTGAGGCCGATGGACTTGGGCTCAACTTCAATGGCGTCGGCAGGGATGGTCTGAGGCAACGCTTGCTCCGCCCAGTACAGAGACTCAATGCTACCAATCTTGCCGATCTGCAAAGACTGAATGGTCTCTTGTCCAGTAATGCTCCGCTGCGACAATTCCTCTTGCAGCGAGAAAGGATGATACCTGCCGATGCAGATCGTGCCATTGTCTACGACGAATTCCTTGTCGGAGACCAGGTTGTCGTCGTCCTCCTCGCGGCGAATCTTGCCGAAAACCTTGAGGACCAGATCGTTGAAGTTGGGCTCGTCTTTGCTGATCTCAAGAGTGTGGAATGGGACAGCCAGCTCGGTGCGAATAGTTCTGGCAGCACCGATGGTCTGCGCCGAGCGGGGGTCCTTACACTTGACTTGGACGGGGTTGGTAAGCCAGAGAAGATTCTGGTCAATGCCTTGTCCGCGGATGAGGTCTCGGAAAGCGTAGAAGTCATCTTGGTTGATGTTTTCGAAGAGATTCTTCTCGATGTCGACGCAGGAGATGACGTCTTGGTCCTTGGGGAGGGGGTCACCAAGGCCGATTGGAGTAACTGAGAACCCGGCGTCCGTCATGGAAGTAGAAAGCGACAGGGCGACATCGCCTTCAGCGTCGCTAGTAACCAATGTCACTGATGTCCCTCGTGGAGGCAAATCTCGGCATCTCCTTGACATGATGGTGGTGCAGCACATGTACGGCGCGTCTTCGTCATACACGGCCGTCTCAACGCCAGTGAAGCCGGAAGCCAGAAGCTCATTGTGCCAACGTGAAGGATGGACGTAAGGAGCATAGAGACGACCGTCATTCTCACCGAGCCACCATCCGACGAAGTTGCCAAAGATGTACGTCGGAGAGCGGAGCTCGGTGCAGATCTCAGTCAGAACAAGAGCACCGCCCGGCTTGAGGACCTTGTTTAGGTTGCTCAAGGTGTCCTTCAGCGATGGAGTTGCGTGAACGACATTGGCCGCAAAGATGACATCGTAAGAAGACTCGACAAACTCCTGCTCAAGGGGGTCCTTGGAGATATCGAACACTTTGTACTCCATGTTCGGGGCATACGTAAAACGCTCCTTGGCTTGCGGGAAGAAGCCGGCGGAAACGTCTGTGAAGGTGTAGCTCGAATACCGAGGGAGACCGCCCTCGTGCATGAGATCACGCAGGATGAGCTCCGTAGTACCACCGGTGCCAGCACCGACTTCCAAAATGCGGAGCTTGGGCTTGGTGCTGGACATCAGTTTGACGAAGTCGCTGTAGCCGAAACTAACAGCATTGTACAGCTCAGCCAGAATGCCGCCTTCCATCAAGATATCAATGGTCTCGGCTTCGCCCTTGAAGATGCGCTCGGAGTTGTCGACGACGCGCTTGAGACCTTCGACAAGTCCGGACTTGTTGCCGTTCAGGAGTCTCTTGTGAAGGTCTTCCAACTTGGCACGGCGCGCCTCACGAGTAAGCTTGAGATACTTCGCAGAGTCTGGGACCAACTCGTTCCCTCCTTCTCTCGCCCCGTGAACTTCCCTATCAATCCAGTCTCTCAGTTTCGCAAAATGAGGTTGGGCGGGGCTGAGTCCGCGAAGTCTCTCGCAACTCTCGATGATACACAGAAGAGTCAATTCCTCAATCATCCGGGCCTCTTCACGGTCCGAAGGTGGTGGCTTAAATAGAGGGGCAACGTCAACGAAGTCAAAGTCCGGAAGCCATTCGAGTCTGGCGGCCGCATACTCATCGTAGTCGGCATCGTTGCTCTCCTCGAGAGCAGTAAGCTTGAAGCCGTTGAGACGCAGCGCTGTCTTGCCATTGGAAACGCACTCAACTCCTTCCGGCTTGGTGGTAGAAGATCCCCAGGCCGTCGCTGTCAATGACCCATCGCCACGACGGATATCCAGGCTTTCAATGAGGGTCGGGACCGACAGTTGCGTGACGTTACGTCCGAGACCCTTGGCGTAAGAGAGAATCAGGAGTTGGAAACAAGCATCGATGGCCACCGGATGCATCACATATGGCTTGCTCATCTCTTCACCAGGTACACTGATGTCCGCCGAAGCAAGGGCCTCGGTGGTTGATGACGTGACATTCTCCAGGCGGCGGAACTCAGGACCGAAGTTGATGCCGACATCCCCCATGTAATCGTAGAAGCGGGAAGAGACCACTTTTCGGGGGTAATCCTCGCGAACGAGGGTGCTGGGTAGTTCATCATCTAGGGCCTTGACCTGTCCTTCGCAGTGCTTTGTCCAGGTGCCCCCGTTGTATGATGCGATGGTGAAATCGAACCACTCCGAATGGTCGGAGTCCGTCAGAGGGTGACGGCGCAGAGTTGTCATCAATTCAGCTGCCTTCTCGTGGTTCAGAACAAGGGCCGAGTGAGCTACCGTGTGTCTGATGCTATAGCCCGCATTAACGCCAGTCATTTGACGGACTGCTTCACCAGCGATCGCAACGTAGCCAGCAAAGGGATAGATGATATCTTGCTTGACCTTGTGGTCGACGATCCATGGCTCGTCCTCCAGAGATAGAATGTTGCGCCACTGAGGTGCAGTATCCGGCGACTCCGGAACACGGGCTCCCAGGAGGGCATGGTGAGGATACTTCCGCTGTCGCCAGGCCTGCGAGACTCTGCTCTCGTACCACAACGACAGACTGTGATCGAATGCGTAGGTGGGTAGATCGTTGAGAGTCTTGCCCCCAGAATAGAGGGCGCCGAGGTTCAGGTGGAATCCTTCTTGGAACAGCCTACCGAAGCAAGAGAGCAACGTCTTGACGCCATCATCTCCTCTGATGAGGCAAGATGCATAGTTGCATGGACGAGAGGCTTGGGAGCAAATCTGGCGTAGTGGCCCGGCAAGCGCTGAATGGGGACCAATTTCCAAGAAGAAGCCATCACCTTGAGATTCGGTGAGGCGAGAGACAGCCGTGGAGAACCGGACCGGAGAAACCAAGTTGGTTCGCCAATAGTCAGGACCAAAAGAAAAGCTCTTATCCAGAACCTCGCCCGAGACGCTTGAGAAGAACAACGATGTGGCACTGCTGGACCATGCTCCAATCTTCTGTAGTTCGGCCTGCAGAAGTGCAGTATAGGTCTTTCCTAGGGCAGTCATGTGATCTAAAAACTGTCAGTATCGAGTGCTGTGAGTGGTATTAAAGACTTACGAGAGTGGTATGCCATGTCGACCTTCAAGAGACGAGCCAGCACGTCAGGCATTTCAGCCTTGATTCGTGCGATGACCTCCATGACCTTCTCCTTGTCACCGGAGATGGTGCTGCTTTGGGGACTGTTCTCGCATGCAACGACAACGCCATCGACGAGGAATTTGGAAACATCCCCAGGACCGAGACCAATCGCAGCCATGGCACCAGCAAGAGTCTGTTGCTTGGTGACATAACCGCGGTAATATGCACAGATGATGGCTGCTTCCAGAGTGATGGCCCCTGCAGCGTACGCAGCTGCGATCTCACCACTGGAGTGGCCGACAACTGCTGTGGGCTTGACACCCGCTGCCCGAAGCCTGTTGACAAGCGCAAGTTGAATTGCGGTGCACAGAGGTTGAGATAGCTCCGCTGTGCCGATTTGGCTTGTGGTTGCAGGTTCAAGAAGTTCATCTAGAAAGATGGTGAGCCACTTCTCCTCGGATATGGACGGTTACTACTTACCAATGATGGACCAACTCGGTCGATGGGAAAGACTCTTGAGAACACCATCCATTCTCTTCAGATCGGCTTCAAACAGAGGATCACCAGCGACGAGCTGCTTAGCCATCTCGGGCCATTGCGCGCCTTGTCCACTGAAGATGAAGTAAACGTCAGGCGCTTTACTAGGCGCTTTCACAGGAGCTGACGTTTCGATAATGCTGTCGTCATGAACGATAGTGAATGCTCTGTGAGGCAGAGCCTCTCGCTTCGTAGCAAGAGTGTAGGCGATGTCATGCTTGTTGACCTCCGGATGTAAAGCGACGAACTCCTGGTATCGATCTACCTGCTCCTTGAGTGACGCAGCTGTGTTCGCGGACACAAGCAGCAATTCGGGGTGCGATGTGCCGTGTCCGTTGGCGATGGGCCTTGATTTGCCGTAAGACTCGAGGATGACCTGCAGGCTGTCAGCTAGGTAAAAAGAAATTAGTAGAGACATCACCTTACGTGAGCGTTCGTGCCACCAATACCAAATGAGTTGATGCTGATGCGCTCAGCTCGGTCAGCTGGCCAGGATGTTGGCAGAGTAGGAACAGTGAGTTTCTTCTCAGCAAATGGGACTAAATAGGAAGTTAGTTCCAGGTTTGAGAAAAGATGAAACTGTCAAGTGACCTACTCTTGGGATTGGGTTCGTTAAACTTGATATTAGGCGGTATAGTCTTGTGCTCCAGGGCAAGGACCGCTTTGATCAAGCTGTTCAATCCCGAAGCACCTTCAGAATGGCCGACATTCGGCTTGACGGAACCAATGTAAACGCCCTTTTCACCAAATACCTCGCCCACGGCCGATGTCTCAATAGGGTCACCGGTCGCGGTTCCGGTTCCGTGGCACTACACCTGGGGTCAGCAACAACTTTCGGAGAGTGCGAGAGGTAGGCGATTGTACCTCAACGTATGCAGTCTGAGATGGGTCCAAGCCGGCATCACGGTAGACCTTGCGCATAAGGGCCTCTTGGGCAATCTGGTTGGGTGTGAAGAGTCCTTGGCTATGGCCATCGCTGTTGGCGCCTGTTGCTCTGATCACAGCTCGAATGGCGTTGCCGTCACGAATGGCGGATGAAAGAGGCTTGATGTAGATAGCGTTGATTGCTTCCGCGCGAGCGAATCCGTCAGCCTTCGCATCGAATGACTTACATGAACCATCAGGGGACAAGATGCCCTCAGAAGTAAAGGCGGCGGTGGTGGTTGGGGTCATGATCAAGCTGGTTCCTCCAATAATAGCGCCGGTTGCGTCGCCGTTCTGAATAGACCGGAATGCCTCGTGTAGGGCAGCGAGTGACGCGGAACAACCAGTCTTGATGGTCATGCTACACTTGTCAGCAAGTCGTAGGCGGGCCTGCCGCAGTTCGACTCACCTAGGACCCCTGAGATCGTACTCGTACGAAACACGGTTTGAGAGCATGAGGTCGCCATTTCCAGTGGCGACGTAGCCAAGTCCACCTTGATGCTGAGTCTCTTTTCCAGCAATCTGCGCCCAGTCGTCACCAAAAGTGCCAACGTAGCAGCCGATGCGCTCCCCGCGGTAATTGGTTTCACCGGCATCTTCGAGAGCCTCTCTTGCAACCTCGAGGAGAAGTCGTTGCTGGGGGTCACATCTCTCAACCTCTTTGCGAGACATGGAGAAAAGCGATGTGTCGATGCGTGTGAGGTCATCGGCGAGGAAGTATCCGAACCTGGTCTTGATAGTGTTCTTCCCGCCGAGAGCGTCGTTGAAGCCGTCTATGTTGTAACGGGTGTCGGGAATCGGTCCCCTTGCGTCCCTACCGTTTACGAGGAGGTCCCAGTAGTCCGTGGCATTCCGGATGCCACCTGGAGCACGAAGTCCAAGGCCGCATACAGCGACGAGGAAGGGCTCGGAAGACGACTGGATGTATTCTCCCATGATGCCGGCGATGGTGACTCGTGATGATGAAGAGTCCAGAAAAAGAGGTCGGAGATTTTGACGGTTGAGCGTCTGTTTGTGAGAAATATTACTGAATTAGATGAAGCAACAGAAGATACTTTGCAAAGAGACTACATTCATCAAGGTGACATTGGTGTCTATTTAACACTAATCATGATGCCTCCCTTCGTCACTACTTCACGATCGATGTCGGTTGAATTGGCTCAAACATCCTCACTCGTCGCGCGGCGGGCTCCGAGAAGCGCTGCGATGAAGCCGAGTCATGGAATCGTCTGTTGAAGCTCAGAATTCTCCATCATGTCTGAAATCTAGACTTCTGGCCTACGTATCAACTATGGACCTTTCACGATGTCTGGAAGATGTCAGCCCACGCCAAGCATGACACGAACGCAGGCGATGCTACAAAGTTGCACTCGATCTGTGAACCCATGGAACTGACAGAGGAGAAATCTTGTGGTGGACTACGGTAAGGATCGATATCCATTTTGCGACCAGCTCGTACATTTTTTAGCCATAGTTGAGCGCCTAGCTCGTTTACTGAACTCCTCAAATTCACCGAATAAAGTTGCATTGGTGGATTGCCTCCACAAAAGCCTTAGGCGAATATCGACCGAAATCTACTGATCCATTGTGTTGGGAATTTGGATCTCGCTGAAGCGTGGCGCCATCTTTGAGTAACGAGTGACAGCGCGATTCATGTTGCTGGATGTTTCAAGTCGTTTCCAGTAACCATCGTACCAGAATTGTAATTGACTACCAGGCTGCAGGTCGTCATAGAGGTTATTCGCTTCTTGGTCGAGGCTTCATTCGCTTGGTTGTTAGTGGATGAAGGGATCATGGATTGCGCGACTCATTTAGCTCCAGTCGGTTCCATCGTGTAGATTCGATCGGACCAGAAGTTGACTGATTGGAAATTTTCGGGAGCCCATTCGTGGGTCAACCGCTCTAAGCCCTGTGCAACGCCTCACTTTGACCCACCAATGGGCCGTTCCGTGGAAAGTGCCGGGCGATGTAGTCACCAGAAAGAGAGCCGTTGCAACGTCAAGGGTTGAGAGAAAACCGACGGAGTGGACATTTGTGCACGTTGTTCGTCGGATGTTGAGTGATTGGTTCTATCGGGGCGGCTGTAATTCTGGTATCGAGTGGTAGTACCAACAGGCACTGGACGTTGGCCTTATGATCATGGCAGTAAACACAGTGTCACTGTGTGGGAAACATGGCATAACAGCGGCACAGCAGAGGTTTTAAATTTCGGGATCGATCGTGGTAGTTGTGCCGACCTTCCAGCACTCATAGAGCCCTCTCAATGTTTTATCCTTGAGTTCCCGAGAGGATCCTTCATAATCATGCCCTCCTCACTCCTCTCCTCATTGCCGAACATGTGGGATCGATTTCATTTCCTACCGCATGTATCATCTGCAGCTCTTGCAGTACTGGCAGTGGTCATTCTATATTCGTCTTTCTCATCGCGGCGGAGACATCTCAAACATCTACCGCTTCTGAATCCCAGCAAAGGCTTCTCTGTGTTTAACATTGAATCCAAAGTAAGCTTTCTCATGCCGACAGGCCTGTGGACAACTGAAAAGCTGATCTTACATTTCATTTTCAGCGCGATTTCGTTTTCAATAGCAAGAGTCTCCTGGCGAAGGGACGCAAGCTATTTCCAAAAAGCCCCTACCGCATGATCACCGACCTCGGCGAAATCGTATTCTTGCCCGTTGAACAGACCGATGAAATCCGTAACGATCCGAGACTCAGCTTCGGGTCAGCCTTTGGTGAAGTATGCTATGGCTACAGGACGGAAGCGGACTTAATGCTGACCCTTATGTCTTAGGACTTTCACGGACATCTGCCCGGGTTTCAGGGCGCTGCGGTAGACAGCTATGATGATGCGGTTCTACAAACCTTGGTGCGAAAGCAGCTCACCAAGTGCATCGGTAAGTTTCCCGACTACATTTCGTTTGTGTAAAAGTGTCTGGTCTCTGATTGAAAATAGCTCAGGTGATTGAGCCAGTCTCGGCTGAAGCTGCTCAAGCTCTATTGGACAAGCTTGGAGACTCTGAAGGCACGTCAACCCCTATCGACGATAATCTCAAACTGCTGACACCTGTTTAACAGAATGGCGAGAGATTGAAGTAAAGTCAGTCATTCTTGACATGGTCGCTCGGCTTTCAGCGCGCGTATTCTTAGGCGAGGAATTGTGCCGTAATGAGGACTGGCTGCGAGCAACGAAAGAGTACACAGTTAACTTTTTTGTCGCCGGAACACATCTCCGTATGATCCCACGCCCTCTACGCCGGATTCTCCATTGGTTCGTGCCAAAGTGTCGAGAACTACGCGCGAGCTTCGACGAGTCACGCCGCATCATTATGCCCTACATTGAGAAGCGTCGCGCAGCACGGGCGGCCGCTGTAGCTTCCGGCAAGAAAATCCCAGAGTTCTACGATGCGATCGATTGGGCAGACCAGGAGGCCGCTACGAAGGGGGTGACCTACGACCCCGCAATCATGCAGGTAAGGCTTTTGATCGACGCGAGTTATCTGAGTTGCTGAGCCTTGACTGACAACTTCATTCAAGCTTATGTTAGCAGTCGCCGCGATTCATACTACGGCTGATCTGGTCACAGAGATTGTACTACAGTTGGCTCTGCACCCGGAGTGTGTCGCTCCCCTTAGAGAGGAGGTCATTCACATCTTACGTTCGGAGGGCTTGAAGAAGTCATCTCTTCACAACATGAAGCTTTTGGACAGCGCTTTGAAAGAAGCTCAACGTCACAAGCCGCCTGGAGTTGGTCAGTGAATCCTCGAACATAGAGTATGACCTGGGGACGGGTGGAACTGACACAGATACAGCATCATTGCGAAGACGAGTTGAGAAACCTCTCACATTGTCGAACGGACTGAACCTCAGAGTAGGAGACAGGATTGCGATCGACACATACCGCATGGGGGATCCGGAGCTGCACCAAGACCCTGAGAAGTGGGACCCTTATAGGTTCATCAAGATGGCCGAGCAGCCTGGCAAGGCCAACTATGCACAACTGGTTGTAACGAGCCCCGACCACCTCGCCTTCGGACACGGGGATCACGCATGTCCCGGACGGTTCTTTGCAGCTTATGAGATCAAGATCATCATGTGTCACCTGTTGCTAAAGTATGAGTGGGAGGCGTTGCCCACTACTGATGCATCGCCAATGGTTTTGGGGTTCACTAATGCTAGCAATCCTACCGCGAGAGTCAGGGTTCGTTGGCGCAAGGAAATCGATTTGGATATTGATTGCTTGTGAAAATTCTACATGTATCACGAACGGTTATCGTTCAAAATCCCAAGCTTACAGTGTTTCTGGGAACTTGACCGATGCTGGGTTGAATGATTCGGGCTGTCAGCTCGAAAGCCTGACCGTGTCAGTTGGACCAGACGCCGACAGCGAGTCCGCGAGTTTGTCTTTGTCGTTTGTCTTCAATAGTTCCTTTAATTTCTAGCCAAGTGTGTTATTCACATGCATCCTGTGTATACCGGTTCTCTTCATATTGAGTCCAATACTCTTTACATCTTCCATGTGGCAGGCTAGTGATCATCACAACTTAATGCTCATCTTCAAGTGCGAGGGTTTGCTCTCGGCTTGTGGGAGTAACCCGCCGCAGCCTCCAGTTTTTTACCGACCGCCAAGTCCGCGGAAAACATAGCCTTGACACCATAAAACGACTCAATCGTCATGTCAATAAACACCCCGCACCCTTGGCACCCTGGGGAATCAGAGTTAAGCTGGGGAAACATGGGGATAATTACTTTCCCGGACTCTTGGCTTCGCTGTGCTCGCTGTAGCGATCAACCAGTGACTAGTGGATCCTCCGCGGATTTCGGGTCTGACCGCCGGGTATCAGGGACTGTTCGTCGAGGAACCGGGAAGGCCTTGCTTCTAATCCATGCGGGGAAGACTTTGCTCGCTGTGTTTCTCCCGTTGTGGGCGGCGCTGAGAAGTCAGGAAAATTGTTTGCGCTGTTGAAGTGAACCTTTTGAAAACTTTGACATGGTGCGAGTGCCAGCTACTGCCCGAAGCTTTCCAATGTGCCTTTTTAATTTTTTCAACAACGCCTTCACACGAGCCGGCCAGTGTTCATGTTGACTTGCGTACTCATGAATAAACCACCGCTAGTCATGTCTACCAACTCTCATTCTGTTTTTACGGATTTTACAAACGGATATCCGTCAAGATACTTGACTGAACGCCATCGTGAGCAGGGATTGAGAGCGCCCAACTCTCAAGGAATAGGTGCATGCACAGGGAACCCCTGCCCCCAACCACGCATCCCGTCATTTGAAGACTGAAGTCTCCGGTGCAACCGGCGCACTAAACAGCCTAGAACGAGGGAATGATTGGCGCTGACGGGGGCAACTTGATGAACTGCCCCGCGTAAGCAGCAGGAGCCCTTCGGCAATGACACGCCCTAGCCCGGCTGCCTTGATATAAAATACCGTGGAAATCAGCGACAGCAGACCTTTGGTTCTCCACGACCAAAATTCCCTCTCTTCTCACTTGCGCAGGGCATCCGATCGTACAATGCGTCGTCCTTCGCCTTGGCTTGCCGCCATCTGCGGCCTGGCGACTCTCGCGTCGTGCGAGACCCGTCGATACTCGACATGGATGCTGGACAGCATCAAGACCCGGAACCAAGGAATTGAGTCATCCGGAGCTTCAAGCAGCACCCTGGAAAGCGGTATTCTGGCCATTGCGATGGAGGCAACAATCAATCAGTACCCCGATTTGCAGAGCAGGTATGCGCCTTACCTCGAGGACGTACTCGATGTTGCTTCGCCGGCCCTCACCAACGCGACCTATGACTCGACGCGTCCCCTCGATCGTTTTTCCGTCGCAACTGCCATCAATCACGCCTCCGCCGCCGGTATTGTCACCATTTCAGCCACGGCAGCCTCAGCCTTCGATGCATTGAACAGCTCGCTCCCACTTCAGATCCGTAACCCCGTTGGCGGATTCTGGTACTACGTCTATCCGCAATGGAGCTACCTCGACGGCATCTTCTCTGTTCTGCCCTTCATGGCGGCGCAGCCCCACCCCAACTACACCGACATCAGCCTGCAGGTGTCTCTGCTCTACGAGCACACTTTCCAGAAGAACACCTCGCTGGTCGCTCATGGATACGACTATTCGCGCACTGCAGTCTGGGCGAATGAGAAGACCGGCTCGAGCCCGTATATCTGGGGGCGATCTGTGGGCTGGTTTGTCGCTGGTTTGGTCCAGACGTGGGAGACCCTCGACTGCCCGGCTGGCAAAGAGGAAGCCAAGGCAGTTTGCAAGCAACTCAGCGATGTTACGACACAGCTCTCAACCGCCTTGCTCAAGTACGTCGACCGCCAGACCGGTGTATGGTGGCAACTCACTACATTCCCGGGACGCAGCGGCAACTACCTCGAGAGCTCTAGCACGGCGCTCTTCATGTTCTCCATGCTTAAGGGCGCTAGATTGGGCATCTACTCGGAGTCTCCCTCCCGCTTTGAGAAGGCCGCCCTTCGCGCATACAACTACACTGTCAACCACTTCGTGACCGACCCAGGAAACGGAACCATTGGCTATGACAAGACGGTGGCGGTATGCAGTCTCAACTCCACTGCAACCTACGAGTACTACACAAACCAGCCGCTGTCTCCTAACAGCTTGCTGGGCGAGTCTGCCTTTGTGCTTGCCTCACTGGAGGTGGAGAGAAAGTAGGTAGTGTAGTCAATACCTACCTAGTCTTCGCCCTAGTAGGCAGTAATAATACCTATTGCAACCATCTGTTGATGATTCATTTTTTGTGCATAAAACATGGCCACATTCGAGTTGAAGTAGTAGAAATTCAGTCAATAAAGGAAAGGCAGCCCATGGCTAAAATCCAATGTACCGTTTGGTGGGAGATTCTTTTCTCAAGCCAAGTTAGCAGGAGGTGGGTCGCGGGAGACTTCAGGTTCAGGCACATACTCTTTAGTCTAGGCAAATATTCTTGGTAAGGCAAATACTTTCGGCTTCAGGCTCATACTTTTATCTACCCCAACAGCACCATTTCTGTTGGAGCACATACTCCATTTTGATCTCTGATTTCAAATCGAGGTGTTACGAGCGTTTCAGGACATTAATAATTGCGACGCAAGAGTGTAGTCAAGCCCATAGGGCCTTCAAAATTTGTCAGATTTGCATTCAACTAATCCCCGCCTTTCTGAAGGTTGTCATTAAGTTATGAAGAGTAAACAAGATCTTGTAAGGGGGTTCATGCTTAAAGCAAGATGAGATAGTTCAAGTAGTCAACAAAGATGATTAATGATCTCAGGAAATGGAGAGCGATTATGCCAATGTGAGATGTTGGTTGACTAGTACATCGCCGACACACAGATTTTGGTTAGTGCGTGCGGCACTCAGCGAGATCGAACTCAGTCAAAAAGAAAATTACGGTTCAATGAACGTCGTTCCGTAAAAGTGTTCTTTTTCATCGGATGAACGTAAGAATTTAGGCTAAGACGAATATGTAATGATACTGTTCCAAGAAGTCTGTCACCGACTTCACTATCTGGACTGCATGGGCAAGGAAGGAGATGACAGGAGGGTGCCACTGACAGTGAGAATGGCCAGCAACGTCGATGATCCGTGCTTTAGCACATGGATCATCGGTACCCGGCTGCCCGGGTATCCGACACGACCAACATAGCCCCGGGAATTTAGGGAGTACGAGGCACACACATCACATGAGGTGATGAGAGCCATAATCTGTCCGAATGTCTCGGATTCCCATGGGACCTGTTATTACCTATTCTAAAATTACAGCGTGCATGAAACCAAAAGAGCAAACTTCAGTTGTCAAGAGTACTTGAGATGACGTGCATCCTTACGCGTGGTAACCAATAAGCCAGTGTGACGAGAATGTCCTCAACCCGTTTAGTCCGGCATACCTAAAGCCAACGCGCCCGAAATACAACATGGTATGCGCGATCGAACAAAGAAATCCATCTCGCAGTAAAGTGGTGATTAGACACTTTTCGCCGGGTGAGATCGATGGATCGGAATCGCGGGCGTCGTCGATGGCCTACGAAGCACAGGCTAAGCCGCAAAGTGATGAGGTCAGTGTGACGCCATTGACTACGGGCTGGCCTGGTCACCGAGCACCGAAGCCAGAGCTTCAAATACACAGGGCTTCAGGGGCCTTACAATCTTGGCCATCAGGGTCCGAATTCTCATTCGAAAAGGGAAAACAACTGTGTTTTCTTCAGCGCAATACTCATGGACTCGCCAAAACCGCCGATCTTATTCATCCATGGCCTGTGGGTTACCGCTGCATACTGGGAACATTGGGTACCGTTCTTCGAAGATTTGGGGTACGAGGTACACGCCCCCGAGTGGCCGGGAATCAACGGCCGCACCCCCGAAGAGGTCCGGGCCGATCCTCAGCTATTGGCCAACAGGCACATTGAAGAAATCGTCGGATATTATGAGGCCTTCATCCACAAACTGCTAGCACCACCTATCATCATCGGCCACTCTTTCGGTGGCCTGTTTGCGCAAATACTGTTATCACGAGGGCTCGGCGTCGCTGGTGTCGCAATATGCCCAGCACAACCAGCAGGAATCATCACGCTGCCGCAAACGACATTCAAAGCCGCACTTCCGATCATCAAGAACCCGTTCAATGCGCACACCACCGTCTCCATTTCAAAAGAACACTTTCACTGGGCCTTTGTCAATAACACCACATCTGACAAGAGCAAAGAATACTACGAGCGCTACTGCATTCCGGGTGTCGCAAAGGTCCTCTGGCAGCTGACCACCCACGTCGCAGGTGGGCTATCTGCTCCGACGTACGTTGACTTCGACAGGGTCGACCGGGCCCCGCTGTTATTACTCTCAGCCTCAAAAGATCACATCGTACCTCCGAGTACGGTGATGAAAAACTTCAAAGCATATACCGGGCCTTCACTTGTGGAATACAAGATGTTCCCCGGTCGCACGCATGGGATGATATTTCAGCCCGGGTGGGAACAGGTTGCTGACTACGTGTTGGATTTTATTGAGGAAGTGGTCCAATGAGGACTCATAATCTTCTACTTTGTTATTCTACGTCTCTTACTTTTCACGGCCCGTCTTCAGCCACCGTGGCTACTGTTTTTTTAATCGTAACGATTTGCATTTGGGGCCATGTTTACATCATGTCTAGTTCTTACTTTATGAAGCAAGCGTGGTAGTTGAGGAGCATTTAGGAAGAGCGCTCGTTGCGGGGGATCATCAGCATTACTAGATTGGCAGGTTTTCAACATGTTAACACTGGTGCCGATATAGGTTTTGAGATTTGCAACGCTTAGAATGGAATAGACGAGGTGGCACAAGCCAATCTTACGACATACTAATGTTTACCTTCGAACCTAAGACACAATCTACATGATTTCAGTGACTGACATGAACTCTTGAAATGATTCTCACAACGTGTAACTAGCATCAGACCCGCACGAGCAGGTTGCCAAAGTGGACCAAGGCGGGAAATCTGGATGCTAAGCAACGTAGGATTTCTAAGCAATTCTTCAGTGTGCCCGATTGTCTCCAATGGACTGTGACCCCAATCAATGGAGGCTTGGAGTCCGAGGTCGAAATGTCATTGGACAGCGACCGTTTCAAGACTCCAACGCCTTTAACGCAATTTGTCGACGGCCCCGACTTGTCGATTCTCAACCCCTGGTCCCAGGGCCTTACGCCAAGGGTCTTCGCGTGTTACCATCCAAACACCACCTGTTCTCCATACCGAGTGAACCCACCGAGGGGCAGCAGTGAGAAATGCCGGTGCCTATTTATCTAGCAGATCTCCCTCTTGAGGCCGTCAGACGATAAAGGTCAAACAACCTCATCCCATCTCGTTGTTGTCTCGTCTGTAATCTAGGTCGAATCTTCCACGGTTATCGCCATGTCGTCCAAACTTTTCCAGCCTCTTAAGGTCGGCCAGGCCCAGCTCTCTCACCGCGTGGTGATGGCGCCCCTCACTAGATTCCGCTTCGATGCCGATCACATCCCCCTCGACATCGCACTCGAGTACTACGTGCAGCGCGCCGCCGTGCCGGGCACTCTCATCATCGCTGAAGCGGTCCTAATTTCCGAGGCGCACGGCGGCTTTCCCAATGCCCCGGGCATCTGGACGGAGCGCCAGATCGCCGGCTGGAAGAAGATCACCGACGCTGTCCACGAGAAGGGCAGCAGCATCTACTGCCAGCTTATCGCGCCTGGTCGCGCCGCCGTCGTGCCCGTCCTAGAGAAGGAGGGCGGACATCCGCTGCTGAGCTCCAGCGCCGTGCCGATCAGCGACGACTCGCCCGTTCCGCGCGAGATGACCGCCGAGGAGATTGCGCAAGCTGTCAAGGATTTTGCCCAGGCTGGCAAGAACGCCATCGCTGCCGGATTCGACGGTATCGAGGTCCATGGCGCCAACGGCTATCTGGTCGACCAGTTCCTCCAGGACAACTGCAACAAGCGCACGGATCAGTGGGGCGGAAGCGTCGAGAACCGAGCCAGATTCCCCGTCGATGTTGCCGCGGCGCTGGTTGAGGCCATCGGCGCCGATAAGGTGGGCTTCCGCATCAGCCCGTGGAGCAACTTCCAGGCGATGAGAATGAAGGACCCCGTCCCGCAGTTCTCCTACCTCGCGCAGAAGTTGAAGGAGCTGAAGCTGGCGTATTTGCACATTATCGAATCCCGCGTCAACAACTGGCAGGATGTGGAAAAGGTCGAGGGCATCGAGTTTCTCCTGGAGATCTGGGACAACACCTCGCCTGTTCTCGTCGCCGGCGGCTTCACCCCGGAATTGGCGATGCGCGCCGTTGACGAGGAGTATGCGAAGTGGGACGTTGCCGTTGTCTTTGGCCGCCACTTTTTGGCGAACCCCGATCTGCCTTTCCGTATCAAGCATGGCTTGCCGCTGAACAAGTATGACCGGGAGACTTTTTACACTCCCTCAATCCCTCAGGGATACACCGATTACCCCTTTCATCCTTCTTTCAAGCCGGGAACTCCGCTGGCATAGACGGCGGGTCGTGATGTAGACGATAGATATAGATATGATGATATTGATGACAAATAAAGTAGACGATACATTTCCCTGTATGCATTGCCTCGTTCTGAATACTTTGAAAATGTCGACGAAAACGGTTGCAAATCAAGCGCTCTGCGCAGGGTATTCGAAGGCAAACATGAAGCACTCTCATGCCATGGTCGGCCATGAAATAACGTGATGCATCAGCGAAAGTCCTTTGGCCTCAACAGATAACAGTAGTGGAAGACATCCGGATCATGCGGCTTCAGTTTCGGCGTCGGAATCTTTGCAATCACCTCAACTTCAAATGGCAATCCCTCCACGTCAAATCGGCAGAATGAGTAGCTCAACGAGATCCAGAACCCGTCATCCGTCAAGTGCCGTCTCACACCCTCCGCCATCCGCAAAAACTGCTCAATACCACCGCAGGACACCGCATCGACTGTGCTTTTGTCGACGATTAAATCATACTTGTCCGGCAGCTGGAGCTGCGTGACGTCCGCGACGAGATACCGCATCTTCACGTCACCAAACATTTGTTTCTCCAACATGCGGCCGCGGTCGATGGCACGTGGCTCAAAGTCGACGTTGGTCACGTTCTGAAACCCACGTTGCCGGAAATGGTTCTGCAGGTCGCTCGTTCCGAAGCCTAGCTGCAGGATGGGCGCCGCGTCGCCGAGTTTGGCGACGTAGGGATCCACGATCGACATGAAGGTCGCAGATTGGGTCAGCCATTCAAAGGTGATCTCGGATGCGAAGCGTTCGCCCCAGTAGCTCTGCTTGTCGAAGTCGGCTGGCATTTCTTTTTTTTGTTTTTCTATTTCGGGTAAACGGTGGCGACTTTTTCGGTGAAGGGTTCGGGAGGTTGGGTGACGACTTTCGGTGAGACTGAAGGTATTTTGAGGTCCTGGTTTCGCTGTTTATGATCTTATCGAGAGGCCCGCTCAAAACTTTTCAATGCCCACATTTACGTTACGTGGGGACAGTTTGTGACATCATACGCATGGAAACTCAATGCCAAGTTCCCTTATTCTGTTCCATAACGTGCCCACAGCTTTACAGGGACATTATTCATGACAAACATGGTGCGACTTGGTGTCAACAGTTGATGGGTAGCCAATCACGACAAGCGGTACACAACTGAAGACAAATAGCAACGAGATAGGTCGAAAATGCGGTCGCAGTCGATCTGCTAATCTTAATAATGTGGAAAAAGATTTCGGTTGGCATTTCGTAATTCAATACTATTAAAGACTAAATAATTATGTTCGTCTATTCTATGAGTATGACAATTCTATGAAAACTGACCAATGTTTCCTCCGAAACAATCAGTTACTTAGTTTCCTTTTCCAGAAGGCCTTTACTCATAGCCCTCTCATGAATCCTCGCTTGCGAATGGGTGGATTCGAACCTTCTGGTTTCCTCACCTCTTGTTCAGTGCCTTCTGCAGTTTCGACGACGTAACGATCCTTGTCTCTCTCCGCCTTGCGCTTATCGTGTTCCGTTTTCCAGCGCATGAAATAGCAGCAGAACGGGAAGAGGACCGTGTTCACCGCAGCCCATGCAAACAGAACCCCAAAGTTGAGACCGATCCTCGAGTGCAAATCGAACATTAACTGCCGGCTTCCCTCCACTACGTGGTGCAATGGCCAAGCATAGCCCCAGCTGTAAAATCCGGAAGACAAGTCGAGGGCATAAAAAGATGTTGATACGTTGGTGATGACCCAAAAGATGAGCCACAGAGCAGTCCATGGTTGCCCCACGATCATAGCGACATTTTCGCATGCAAGGCCAAGCGCCGTCATGCCGGCGAAATTGAGCATCCAATATACTGGAAATGTGCCGCTTCCGTATGCGGTCGCGCCTGATTGCGGCGGAGGCTCAGTTGGGGAATAAGGGGGAGCCCCAAAGGGGAGTTGGAAGGCCAGTGATATGAGGCTGTAAGCCAGAGAAATCAGAAAGTAGGCAAATACTGTGGCAATCCAACGCCACACAATAAGTTGCCAGAACTTAAGAGGCGGGTGGCCTTGAGGCTGGATGTATTTCTAAATGGCATGTTAGCAGGTTACCTTAATAGCTGTTTAGCACTGGACATGTACACACCATGTGAATCGGTAAAAAGAACGAGAATGAAAAGAAGGCCATGATGATCAGATAGATAAGTCCAATGCTGACTGCAGGTGTTGCAGTGGCCGGTCTGAAAGGTCGTATGTCGATCATCAACGGCGCAACGCCGGGGTTGACAACAGCAGGCGCTCTTGCCAGGTTCTCCCGGCTCAGGGAAGTATTGGACATGATAGTCTGGCCCCATTGCTTCCCAAAAGCCTGGCTAAACTGCTCTGTGAACTGCGTGATGTATGGCTGTATATCGCTTTGGTATGTCGTTGAATCTCGCGCAGTCTGAGTAATGATTTGCAATGAGCCTGCTGGATCATAATTCGCGTCACCCGTCGCCGCGGCTTCTTGCAAGGCTGCTGTCGCATTCGCGTGGACAATCACGGCCGCCCAGCTTTTGAAGTCATACACAGCCATCCGCACGGCCATAGGGTCGTTGTTGAAGTCCGACGGTTGCAGAATGGTCCATCCGAGTGACGGGCCCGGGCTGTCCAATGCCTTCTGAACGGTCTGGATGACGGCAGGACCGACGATCGGTTGGATAGACTCGTATGGCGCGACCTGGCCGTCAAAGTTGACAACATGCACGACGACTGACCGTAAGTTCGCTTCCGTGCGGAAGAGAACGGCCCAGTAAAGCGAGAGGACCGCGAGGATAAACGCGAACAGGATCGCAATCGTCTGAAGCCAGAGCCGGATGACATGGGCGCGGACTTTCCTCATCGAAGGGTCCCAAAATCCGACCGCATGATGGGGCTTCTCATGAAGTTTCGCGAAACCATTTTCAACATTGCGGGTGTTTTCGTCTGCTTTTGCGTGGTCGACTTCCGTGTGGCTCGACGGCGAGCGTTGCTGATCTTCGGGAGACCCTGCCATTGTTTGTTCGCCAAGAAAGGAATTGGCTCAACCTCCTCAAAGCTTGTCGCGTGGATGTCCCAATGCCTGCCGGAATGGTTGAAACAAGCTCAATTGCATTCCAGAACAGCTGCATGGAGTTGCGCCTTTCCCGCGCCTGGCGTCTTGGGTTTTATGACGAACCGAGACACCTCAATGATTTGGCATCAAATTGACTGACCGGCGCTACTGATCAGTCTATGATGCGTTATCAAATGGAGTTTTTTGAGTAGTGAAGTAGCTGCTAACAATTATGCTAGAATAAGCGTAGAGGATCATGTTGTGATTGGCCAATGCTCAAGTAGCTCGACCCAGATACCACCTTATTGCCGGGGGGCATGACATCACGGTTCCTGGAAAAGGTCCTAAGAACGCCTCGCTGATCACTCCCCTGCTTGATGATCCCGGGCTGTTCGGATGCTCTGGCCATTTTCTGAATCTTTCTTGTAAGGCAAAGTGTAGTCGGGTTGATCCGTCAAGTATGTGACCTAACCCGGCAATGATGGTCGATTCGCTCCTCACTATTCGATCTGTGCCGACCAACTCAGAACAGCCGAGTCCCTCGCCGTAAGTAGAATTTCCAGTCTCTTGTCCCCCCCCCCCCCTGAAATGTGTCCTTAAAGGGGAGTCAAAGCTCGTCGGCGGGTGGCTCGTCTGCCTTTGCTCTCCACTGTAAAGATAGATCATAGACCTTTCCGAGCCGCGTCCACCTTGTTGAAAGTCTGACTTCAACCTTTTCACAATTCTCGGATTCACAAGGTAGCTGTGCTGATGATACCGTGTCGTTGTTGAAGTGAAAAGGGTCTGGGGGTAGCGTGTGCAAGATGTCTCTCGGATTCTTGTCTATGAAGGTTTTCACAACGTCGTCGCTATCCACCAGGAAGAATACACAGAAGTTCTTGTTGCGTTCTTGAATTTGGCTGTCGAAATGAAGCCAGGCGTAACCGGGCTTGAATCTTTCGTAGTCGAAAGAGAGAACAACGGAATGTCCTTCCTCGTGCTCTACCCATGAACCGGCAGGGAACGTTTTGGCAACCCAGCAGGGTATCTGACCAGGCTTCCGGTCGCTTCCATGTGGTACATGCCAGTTAACAATGATATGATGCGATGATTGTGATTTCTTCCAGAGCGAGTCTGCATCTTCTGGGTTACTGGACCCAACAAGGATGTTCTCAAATGTTGACCTGGCTACAACAGAATTGGGAACCGAGACAAATCCTATTTGATGATTGGAGCGGTAGAACAGACTCTTCTCATCTTCCTTCTCCATGTAAACGCCAACTCTCCAGCTTTGCGCATTTTTGCAGTTGAGGATGGCGACTGTCCCTGTTGGAGAGAAAGAAAACTGGATGCCTGCCGCGGAAGCTATTTCGCCTTGTTCAGAAGGTACAAACGGCAGTTGAAAGCCGGAGACTCCTGAAGCTAACACTTGCAAGCTTATTGAGATACCTTGATTGGTGAAGGAATATGGAGGCTGGAGGTCATCTGGATGATATGCCGTAACACTTCCCGAATTGGCAAAACACAACGGGGAGTATGCCAGAAAGCCCGTTTTGCGTCGTGTCGTTGGCTCGAACCATGCGAAAATGGATTGGTCGTTTGTTCTTCTCATGATTTCCTCCTGTAGACGAATAAAAGCCATCTCCCCTTCTCCGTAGAGCAACGGCATGTTCACGCCAAACAAAAAGACCAAGCAGACAGTAAGCCTGGTCTTCAATGCGAGTTGTGACCCTGTTCGCGGCCCACGACATCTTTTGTGCGATGCTATATCGACTAAGGACGCCGTGAGTAAACAAATGTCTGTCGATGCCGGTAATCTTCCCTATGATCTCCCGTCTAGTTTCCCTGGTTCCTATTTCAACCCATCTTTTGTTGTAGAAGATGACGTTTTGCGGAGCAATGAGCTCCTGCAAAGTCCAGCCTCGACTGAACCACCGGCTCCTGGTGAATTCCTTATGTCCTTGCCCAAAATGCGCAAAATCAGAGTCAACGTCTGAGAGGTAGGCATAGCAGATTCGCGAATCTCGGTACCAAGTCCACATGGAGTTGATAGCCTCGGTCAACTCGGAGGAACTAGTTTTATCAATGCAACAAGTGTCGATCCACTGTGACGAGAAATCAGTTTCTGCGAAAGGTTATTGGAAAAAGTCAAATATCGAAATAGGTGACATTGCGGATGCTCACAATGTACTGGAACCCATCTGAGAGGGCTTTTTTACAGGCCCCTGCGAGTTTCTCATACCCGATAAGGTCGGAACCTTTGCCGGAGACTAGGTCCTGGTATGAAACTTCTTCGGTACCCCAGGTATGAGATAAAATAGCATAGGGTATTCGATGATGATTGAAAACGTGAAGCTCTTTGGTTTTCGTGTTGAGAAGCCGCATGTTGGCTGTTGATACTGCTCATGCGATGTGCAGGAGTGAGGGCATGGCTTTGCTGACCAGAGGACATTCGCGTGGCATGTTCAGCGTGCGGGGTCAACTGCAGCACCGGGGCTGATAGCGTCAGTACAAATACCCTCGTAGGATTGGACGAGAACCAAGACCGTGGAAGCTTCTTGCAGTAGTCCGGCGGCTAAAGCTTACGTGGTTGAGCAGGTTCACATGCATACTGCGATAAAAGTGTCTTGCATATCATAGCATTCGACCGTCCCAATCTGAGTCTAGCTACTTCCTCCTCATGGCATGTAGCGGAATGAAGGATGTCGGTACCCCAACTGGACCTGCTCCTTTTCACTTCGGCCGTCGAGTCTGTGGTCCCTCTTACCAGCAGCTCTCATTCTATTCTCATACAAACAATACAGGACACCGAACACGGCAAGTAGTACGGCCAAACTCTGTCCAAACAAGTTGATAGTGTGTCCAACAAAGTACTTGGGTGCATCTTTGAATGTGTACGTCCACCTGGGTCATATCAGTATTTGCCAAGACAATCCTCTAGTATTGGGTTATCAATCACTTACGTCGCAACAATGCCTCCAATTGTGCCGATTGTGACAACATAGGCACTCGTAACCGCTCGGACTGATGGTCCCGCAGAATCTATGGAGATAGCGATTAGCCAGAAGTGTAAGAATCGCAAGCTTAGTGACGACTCACTATTCATAGCCCAACTCAAAAATCCGGGCCCGCCAGGGAACGCGCCCGCGGTGACAAAGAAGACAGCCATGTATCGAATATTTGCGTCGGTCTCGAACCGCAAGATGGCGAACCCAATTACAGCGATGAGTGAAAATAGGGCAAGATATATGCCGCGCTGACGCGTTTTGTCACTGATGTACGCCACCGTCACAGCTGACGCGCAGGCCACGACGTATGGTGGTACAGACATGAGCTGCGCCTTTGTCGCTGTCCAGCCCAGGTCGTTTAATATCGTCGGCATGAAAACCGAGATGCCCTGCACAGTGATGTTGATGAGGAAGAAACCGAAAGCGCACGTGTAGTTGTGAATACAGAAGACAGCTCTCTTAACATGGTCGAGACTGACTGGCTCGTTGGCATCAGACTTGTGCTCTCGCTGAAGACGCTCGACGGCGATGGCTCGTTCTCGGTCGGTGAGAAAATAGGCAGTGGCTGGATTTGTCGGCATCCACAACGGCGCGAATAGCCCGATCAAGATCGTAACGAAGCCCTCGAAGAAGAAGATGTTGCGCCAGGTGTGTATCGGCATGCTGTCGAAGCCCCATTCCGGCACTCGAGATAGGCCGGTCGCCAGAAGACCACCAAATGCGCCCGAAAGAGATGCTGATGAAATCAAAATTCCGATCCGAAGCAATAACTCCTCTCGTCGATAGAAACTGCTGAGGAAGAATGAGAACCCAGGCATTGCGCCTCCTTCAAAGACTCCCAGAAATGCCCTTGCTGCTGCCAATCCTTCGTAGGTTTTGACAAAGGCTGTGCATAATGATACAACGCCGAATCCGACAACAAGGAACGGGAGGTAGAATCGCGGCCCTACCCGCTTGAGTAGAACATTGCTCGGAACCTCAACGAAGAGGTAAACAATGTAGAATATTGACAAGACCCAGTTGAATCGGAATCCCTCGAGGTTAATGTCTTTCGCCATTCCCTGAATCCTCGCATTTCCGATGTTCGAACGATCAAGAAACTGCGCGTATTAGCGTTTTGAGTGCAGAGAACATAACCCTTCGCCACGACAAGCACATACGCAAAGGAGGTAGAGTACTGTCGTCAACGGGACAGTGTGCCAGTCGATTTTCCGCCTGATTGCCTTCTCTTCCGCTTCGCTCCATTCTAGTATTGACGGAGCCTCTTCGTATCCAACAGACTCCGACTTGATATCAATCGTAGTTCTATCGGAGTAGTCGACTGGAAGCATGCTGTTAATGTTATGGCTACACCCCCTAGATTTCCGCCACTTACGCTTCTTGTCCGGCTCTATAGCAATCTCATCAATTGTAGACAGTACCATCGTGACCAGATGTCGGAACAAAGTGCGACGAAACTTCAAACAATGAGGACTGGAGGTGCTAACGGGGTATTTGAGCTGCTATCGCAGACAGTTCGACTCATCATAAAATGCTCAAAATGATGCGACGTTGCGCTGACAAGCCTTGGCCAAAGAGGGGAAGGTGGTGGTCGGCCATTAGTTTTATCAAGCACGGCCGCTAATGAGCGGGAGCCAACTACTCAAGCTGGCACAGACGACAGAAGACCCGTCAAACTTTGTTCGGCAGATGTCTCTCGCATTGGACATGGAGACAGCCCTGTTCATGTGCTGCCCTCGTCCAATGATCTGGGACAAAGTAGCCCAGGATGGCACGTTCGTGCTAGATTGCGGGGTACGGGGGGAAGCACACTCTAATGTTATACCAAGATTGAGTCGAATTAAGACTGTGGTTGGTGAGCAAGGGTCGTATCCCGCCGGGGTTAGAAGAGGACGGTTTCGCCATTCGCAGTACCAACGCACAGCCAAGACCGTCCGTCTCAACTTTGATGTGCCGGAACGCCTGGGGTGCGAACCCAAGGTGTCCCCACGTCGCAAGCCGAAAAGGAAATCAGTGACCCTTTGCGAAGAGGCTTCCCCATTGCAGCCGACATGTTCGCCGATTCCGCCACCTTTCGTCCGGACGCCTCGGGATACACGTGCTTGAGCGTTTCCCAAGCCGCGATAGCTTAACGTCAATTACACCTCAGGTTTGCGCACGGCTGACTAGACACATGTAGGGCAAAAGCTATGTATCACCAGCTGCTGACTGATCTACATTGAGACAGTCAGGTAATACACTGAGACGGTGGGAAGTCATGCACGAGGGACTTTCGTGAATGAATGGCACGCTGACAAGCAACGCGAGATTTCGATTGTCCTCATGCACTGGTTACACCAGTGTAACCTCTGTGTCACTCAACGTGGAAAACATTCACTCTCAAACTCGCTCTATGTCAACCGCAAGTGGGATAACGGAATCCACTTACCTTGGCCTTGGGCTGACGCCAAGGCGAACGAGAACTCCTCTTCGTGGTGAGGGGTGGTCATCGGATATCCCGCACGGGCAACGTTGGCCCGCGTTGGAGACTTCGAGTGAAACAGTTCCGAAAGAGCCAATCGCCTTAGGCCTGCAAAAGTCGGCGGCAGCCCTACATCGGGTAAAATAGCATATTTTGCATCTAAGCGTGAGTTTTGAGGCTTAGCTCTGTGGCATTAGAACCGGTCAGTGTGCTGAGGGGTCTTTTCGTCCACAGAACTCGTTCATGCGAAGCACGATTGCCAAGTCTAGGCACAGACTAAGAAAGCCTTATGAGCGGTAGTTCGGGTTGATTTCGTCTTTCTGATGACTGAGAGGAGGTGAGTAGCATCATAGACATCAATTTATTGGAACATTGCCATACTTTATACACACACGCAAAAATCCCACATTCGTTGGGAATGAAAATCCCGGTTTTAAGTTGCAGAAGTTCAGTCAGTTCCCTTACAAAACTCCATTATGATGGTCATACTGGCCAAGCAGAACATTTCGAAAGGCAAGCAATATCCGAACAGAAGCGGCCGAACCGTGGGGCATCCGTAGAATCTGAATCAAAATCCTTTCCCAGATGGCAGGAAACGGTACGCAACCATGGTCTGCACATGACGTGGTGTTCTTGGTGCACGGGGAGCAGCCACCTGGGATGATGAATTCCAAAACGCGGGTAACACCGGCGGGAAAATTGAGCATGGTTCAGCAGCAGACCGTGCAGATGCAGTTTCTGGCGACTAGACTGCAGACACTTCCTGATAGCTTAAAGCGAATGATGACTGAGGTCAAGAGAAGGTTCAAAGCTGGTGACGCCGCTTGAATTTGAGCAGTCGGGGAATCAGTCCTACAGATGACGTCGCCGGCTTCCGGCTGAGATGAGTGGCTTCATTACAGCATGCTGTTGCAACAAGGCATGTCATGGATGCGACTTCCAGACTCCAAGTACTGATAAATGATGTGGCGAGACTTTTCTCACAGTTGTCTTCGAAAATGAATATGGTCTGGGTGTGAGTGGAGTGAAGTATCTAGTAGTCTTGGTCTATCTCTGGAACCATCGTACACTCAAACATAGTGAATGTGAAATTCTTGACTGGTCCCATTATTGAATAAGAGACATAAGGGACACATCAAGTTTATTACACACTGAGAATCGACGAGTCGAGCCTCAGGGTTTGCGCCGAGTCCATGATCCCTCGCCCCCCCTAATAATCTTGACTCGGGTTCGTTAACTTGCTGCGAGAAGCCCACATATTAGATGTCGGGGGCGCTTCCGCAACTCTAAAATTGCCGGTCGACAGTCAAGCATCTGTCGGAAGCTTGCGCGGATAACTCCAAGCCTACTGAAGTTTGAACTAAGGGTGGGCGGCCCGGAGGGAGGGAAGGTTCCCATGCTCTGCAAGAGGCCGTACTAGGGCGTGGTACACGGCACTGGCTTTCGGCTTTGTCGGGTTCTCTGCTACAAAGAGGTCACGACTGGCCGTACCAGGCACCTTGTCAATCGGAGCGGCCGGTTAGTGTATCGCCGGCTCCGAAGTCTGCGGTGCTTGTGGCCTTAGAAATCTCGAATGAGCCATGGGGTCCTGTGCAAGCCGGTTGACACCATTGTCTACGGTGTCTACGGTATGGCCGATTTATACGTTTTGTATGGATTTTGGCGAGAACGTGACAATGACTTGATGGTAGCGTGCGAGATTCAACGCTGGCCAAACGTCAACACGTTATCTACATATATTTAAATCTCCCCGCCCCGAGTCACATCCTCGGGGTTAAGAGGAGACCGAGTCTGTTTCCGACCCTTGCGTGGCCATAATTCAACAAGTCCGTCATCGACGCTAAACACGATCCCTCCACGCATCACGAACTTCATATGACCGCTTTGCTCCCATACCTTATCTACATTATCAACTCCTGGCGGGTATATGACAATATCTGCTAGCTTTCCAACCTCGATAGACCCAATAGAAGACTGAAGACCAAGCGATATGGCGTTGCCGATAGTGGCAGAGCGTAGAACGCTGTAAGGAGTCTGACCTCCTAAGGCCATCATTTTCATCTCTGAATGAAACAAGTGACCGATTGGCTGCTCTCCATGAGCACCAACATTCGTCCTCACGCCTCGCTTCGCGAGTTTCGCGGTTGATCGAGTTGTGTTGAGAAAGAGGTACGAACTGTTTGGCGCTTGCTTCACTTCGGTCAGGCTTTCCAGTATGTCATGTCTTACATACTTCCTCAGCTTGGCGTCGTTAGGTATGTCCGCGTTCTGGTGTATCCAATGTTGACCGAAGATACCGCCGTAGTTCATGACTGCCAGTGGGGTATAGGAGCTGCCACTGGCTGCAACAAGTGACAGGACGTCGTCATACAGCTCGGGTACAGGAAGAGGGTGCTCCTGAGATGTGTAGCCATCGATGAAGTATGTCAGACCCCAGTCGAATGACCACCCTCCTTCCGGTACGACGAGCATATCAAGTTTAGCAGCTTCAAGCAGAAGTCTCTGCCTGGCCGATCTAGAAACGAGCTGGTAGTTCTTGACAGTAAAGGACGCATCGCCGCCTTCCTCTTTGATCCGCAAAAGTGCGTCTCTAGCATCAGCAAGAGAGTTGATCTCAGTGTAAACAGATGGCTGGGTAGAGCCATACAGTACATCGCCTGTATGATACACCCTGGGCCCGTACATTCTTCCCTTGTCAATAAGCACACGTTCGATGTGGCCAGCCACATTATTGGACGCTGGGTTGTGGATTGTTGTGACGCCGTATCCTAGAAACGTTTCCATTTCCCACGACTGGGTTGGGAAGGGCGAGAAGAATCCTCCCCAGTGACCGTGAATGTCGATGAAGCCAGGCAGAACCGCGCCTCCCTCAGCATCAAGGACTTCACAGTGTGCAGGTAACTTGACATCGGACCCTGGGCCGATGGCAACGGTCTGGCCCTTTTCGACCAGGATCGTAGCTTGACGCATGAGTTCCGGAGTCGTGAGACCCATGCTAATCAGAGATGCATTGGTGATAGCGAATGGTCTGCCCTCAGAAACTCGTGCGTGGTGAAAGTTTGCCGTCTCGTAAGTTGCGTTGATTTTCCTAGAAGAGACAAACATACGAGCGCAGTCGCCGGAGTCTCTTGATTTGAGCGAGGCTCGTCCGCATCCCTCGGAGATAGTCTTGAGATCAACCATTTTCAGGCTGGGTCCCAAAAGCCAGAAAGCCCTTTCTCCGTCCCAGCTGAGAGAAAAATCATGACCACCAACATCAGAGAGACGGGTGAGATCCTTCGGCCTCTGAGGATGTCCTGGCTTACTCCATATACATCCTTGTTCGGCCTGATGGTTTACCGAGAGCCAGATGTGCTGAAAGTCCCGAAGCCCGATGATATGCGGGTTCTTTACTGTAGATCGCATCTCGACCGATGTTCGGCTGGCCGATATCTTGTGCGCCGCACTTCTATCCAAATCATACTCGATGATCGAATCCAGGTTTTGGATCTGGACAATGGTGGACCCATCGCGGGACCCTATCTCAAGTTTGGATTCAGCGCTGTAGTCTTCGAGGGGAAGTCTCCGGAGGCCATCCAACCACGGTATTCCCCAACCTGTCGCGGGCAATTTTATATTGGCAACCCAAACACCCTCTCCAAATGTCTCGTCAATGTCTCCAAACATATAGTCCTTGCCAGTGCGGATGTACGTAATAATTCTCCCATCCGTGACTGGAGAGACAAATCTTCCTCGAGGTAGTCCTTGGATTTCTGTGGTCGTATTGTCCTGTCGATTGACGACATAGAAGCTGGTGTAATTGACGTCGGTCCAACATGCTTGGAGCAAATACTGGGTCTCACCCACGAATGATGGAGAGTAACATGAGGTAAAGGCATTCGGTGTTTCGACTTTCTGAGTGCCACCGGAAGAGACATCCATGATGTAATTGTCCCCAGCCCCTTCAAATACCACCATATCCCCTTTGGCGTCACTCCGAAGGCCCCGGAAAGCCGTTTCCTGGGCATGAGTTGCAAGTTGATGAGCTGTAATATTGGTTGCCGAGTATCTCGTTGTTCCGAGGGCAATGTCTATTGTAGCCCTGAACCGAACCTGCTTCGGATCGCCGCCGGCACCCCGCTCACCATGGTGGTTTACGCGCAATGGTATACTCCAAATCTGGCCTTGAGACCAGATGACAATTTTGCTATCATTTGCTGACCAACCATAGTTCGGGTAAGCCCCCATGAACGCGGGGATAGTACTCAGGTCGTATGAGAGGCCATCCCAGACGTGATGTAAAGAGCCGGAACGCATATCCTTGAGAACAAGAACTTCCTTGTCGTCCCGGCGTCTTACGAATGCTAGAGTCCTTCCGTCGCTAGATAGTCGTGGCATATTCGCGCCGCCTGGGCTTGCGGGTTTGTTGGGCTTGCTGCGAGTAGCCGATACCAGGGTCGTCGTCTCGTTGGTGGTAGTATTCAAGAGAAAGACGGCGTTGATCCCAGAATGAACGTCTTTATTGTACGAAAACTTTCCCTCCGCATCATCCCGTACGTTGCGAGAAAACACGATGCCATCGCCAGAGGGTATATAACGAGCTTGCTCTGATCCCAACTGACTCTCAAAATATCTCTCTTTGGACCAAAACGTAGGAAGCTTTCGACTAATGATTCTTCTGCCTCCCCTTTCAGGCAAACGACCATCATTAGAAACCCTCAAGGGCACCTCCCATATCTCACCAGCTCCATTTGGGCGACCAGTAAGAAACCATTTCGTGGCAATAACCTTTGGCTCCGTCGGGTGAAATGCCGGGCTGGAGAAGAAACGGAAGGTTGAGTTCGTTTGTTGGACAGCGCTTTGTCGGACCTTTTGCTGCGGCATGCGTGCCATCTTCCTGCAAGTAGTGTATGGCATGGTCCAGATGTTGTCGACACCGAAGCCAGCGTCCGATATAAATACGAGGCTAGATCCGTTGCGGGAGAACTCCGCTTCCTTGTCATACGGAATCCCCGTTAGGATGGGTTGTGCGACCACGGCGGATTCATCTTCGTAGCTGCGCGTGGACATGCAATATAGGTCTCCTAGCATGTCAAACACAATCTCCTCCTTTGATGGATGCGGAGCTATGCGGAGCCATGTTCCCTCGGAAACGTTCTTGGACAGTCTTCTTGGGTACGGGTATGACGTTGCGATATCCCATGATTCCTCTGCAGGTCGGAGAGGATAGTCGGTATCTGGAAATATGTCTCCTTCCAGATGGCGTGCGACATCTTGTAAATTCTGACTTACGAGCTCCATACACCACGTTGGGAAACTAGAAGCCAAGTGGGCAATGCCGATAGCAGCAAATCCGTAGAGCATGGCTGCACCAAGTCTGTGCCTCCACACCCAGTGAAAGTCAGCCGGCTTCAAGTACATCGCCTGACTTTGAGACAGGGCATGACTTTTCTCCATGATGACCGGGATAGTATCAAAAGAAAGTGTGTAAAGTTCGATTTCAAAACCAATGGAGATGCGCAAAGGCTCTGCGAAGAATCACGCTGCGCAGAGCTTGCCGATACTTAGGACCTGGACAACCAAGACTACCAACGACACACCGAACAGCGGGTTGCTTGGTTGTAGCATACGGTCATCCAAAAGAAGAAAACCAATAGGGCTAAGACATTGCTATCGGTCAGAGAGGCCGACGTCGTTGATTATCAAGCTTATCGTGTATCGTCTAGCGTGGATAAGGTGATATCAGGGAAGCCGTACAACGGAATTGTGCTCTGGGTACTTGTACCCGATGGGTGAAGCAACGTGACCACCGGGCCGCACGCCCTCGGCCGGACCAAGGTAATCTCGGGTGTCGATTGCTCAAGATCTTTCCCAGTATTGAGACGATGAATATGAATGCGAAAAGCGTCAATACCTTCGAGTGTGATTCTGTATATGGACAGTGTGGATACATCGCTTCACAAGAAACAATGAGGTCTATTCCTACCGATCCCAAGCGCACTTATTCGCGTCAGAGTAACCTCTCCCAATTTGCATTCATAACTCTCGAAAGCCTTCAGCATGATAGCGTAATGCCTTCATCCCTCGGCGCAAAAGATAAACATAACCCGATAAACAACTTGGAGGAATTGAAGTCGACCATCTATCCCCCTAACCCCTCATACGACATCTCCGAAAAGCCATGGCTGCCCGGACGCCAAAAGCCCTACATCCTCATCAACGCCAATCTCGTTGATCCAAGAGCTGGAGCTGTTCACAAGGGGATCAGTTTACACTTGGCTGGTGGCAACATTATCAGAGTGGCTCCTACCACGTCTCACGACTTGGCCGCCGAGTTTCTCTGTGCCGGACAAAAAGCGCAGAAGATTGATGCCAGCGAATATTTCATCTGCCCGGGGCTCATCGACTGTCATGTACATCTCATGGCCGTACATGGCAGCTCGACGTTGCATGGAGCTTTCACCTTTCCACACGAAACAGCCATCTTCAGATCTGCTGGCACACTTCGGGGCATCATATCCAATGGCTTCACATCAGTTCGTGATACCGGTGGTGCAACCATTGCTCACGCGCAGGCCACCGACGAGTTCCTTATACCAGGACCACGCGTCTTTCAAGGTGGACGCATGCTCTCACAGACAGGGGGTCACGGAGACGACACAGAAGTATGGAATGACTCGCACTGCTGCCGGAGCAATGCAATTGCCAGCTCTGCTCTCGGAAGACTCTGCGATGGCGTCCCGGAGTGCCTGCAGGCTGCGCGAGATAACATGCGTAAAGGCGCCCAACACCTCAAAGTATGTACATCAGGCGGCATTGCCTCCGCCACGGACAAGCTTGAGTCCTTGCAATTCACGGTAGAGGAACTTCAGGCTATCACGACAGTCAACAAGAATATGGGCGGTACACTAGTGACGGCCCACTGCTACACAGCCGAGGGTGTACGCCACGCCATTGCGGGTGGTGTCCGCGGCATTGAGCATGGCAACATGATCGATCCCGAGACTGCACAACTCATGGTCGAGAAGGGTGTCTTCTTGACGCCAACGTTAGCTCTTCACACATTTGTCACCATGCCGCCGTACGACAAGTTTGAGACGCCGGAAGGGTTGCGCAAGAATGCGATTGTGGGAGATGCGGGAATACGAGGCATTCGCTACGCCGAGGATGCCGGTGTGACTGTGTGTTTCGGAACCGACACCACCGGACCCACGTTGGTGATGCAGACGTACGAATTTGTTGTGCGATCCAAAATACTACCAAGCCCGGTAGTCCTGCGGCAGGCGACTATCAATGGTGCCAAGCAATTAGGTATGGAGGGCAAGCTAGGGGAGCTTGTCGAGGGTGCCTTCGCCGATTTGCTGTTTCTGAATGAGAATCCGTTGGAGGATGTCTCTAGCTTGGACAGAATCAACGAGAACCTGATGCTGGTGATGAAAGATGGTCGCATCGTCAAAAGCCAGATTAGCCATCTGCGTCCTGAGCGGAACTGCGAGTGGAACTGAAAAGTGTCCTTAGCATAGGTAATAAAACAACACAAGGTTGACTGGATTCTCGCGAATTCCAACACGAAGCTCAAACCTGCACAGGGACAGTCAAGTGATTGCCTTAGCAATTCAGTATTATGGGCTACTACGATGGAGAGTTCTCCGATGAATTCACTGCAACGAATTGTTCAACCATGAAAAACAGAGAAACATCACGGCCACATCATACGATTCATCTGTACGACATGAGAGCAAAGTACCGATCATTTCGCCTTCAGATGAAATTTGAACTCGCCCACAATCCTATCGCGAAACATTTTGGGCAGGCTACACACTGACATCCGCCATCTCTACCTCTTTCCTATCCACATCTTTCACTCCAGGAACAGCCCTCGTCGATATGTTGTCTTTGTCATCCGACACCAGAACAGGATGTGTAGAGTCGTAGATGGCGGCGTCAGGGTTCTGCTTGGCAGTCCGTCGGTCAAGCCAAAGTACAGCCCACAGCATGCTGAACAACAACGCGATTATGACAAGCATGCCGATGTAGCCATCGCGCCAGTACGGTACTTTGTCGGCGGGATAGAAGACAATGCCCCACCAAGTATACAGGATCTGGGCGAAGGCGTTCATGCTTGTGAGAATGACACTGCGACGGGCATCGTCACCGCCTCGTTGGGAAATGATGTTAGCCCAGCCAAACAGCAATGGGTTGACGATGTAAGATGACCCAGCGAGATAGAAAGCGAACATGATGGCAACCTTTCCTGAACTTGGCACCAGCAGAATCACAGCCGAGACAAGCTGTAGTGCGCATGCAAGAATGCCCATGGGGACACGCCGCCCAGTTGCGTCGATATACACAGCGGCAAGCATGTTGGAGACGATTCCCATAGCCTGTATACCCAAAGGATACGTGGTGACCTGTGACTGCGTGAAATATCCCTGTGCCGAGTAGTGTTTAAGCCACAGCAGATAGAGGTTCTGAACGCAGAATGCTTCCAAAGCGGAACAGACCATGGAGAAGATACATAGGATGTAGAAAGCAGGGGAACCAAAGACACGCTTTGCTAGTGACCAGGGGTTGATGTTGTGGCCGTCCTCGCACTTGGGTGGGAGACGATCTAGGGCGAGGCGCTTCTCAGACTCGCTAATCCACGGTGCTTTCGTCTGCTCGGGCGTATCCGGGAAGTAAAGAAATCCGACAATGGAAATGGGCAAGGTGATAATGCCATCGATGAGAAACACCCACTGCCAGCCATCCAAGCCCGAGTAGCCGTCCATGCCCTGATTGATCGCCGTCATCATGACGCCTGCAAACATAGAGCCTGCTTGGCCAGACGCCGTGAAGATTGCCGTTCTCTTAGCTATTTCGCGAGGTTTGTACCAGGATCCGATGCAGTAGATAGTGCCGCAGTACGTAGATGCTTCAATCAGCCCCATGAGGAACCTCACAACGCAAAGCTGAGCATAGGTCTTGCAGCCTGCGCTGGCCATAGTGAGGCCTGCCCAAATGATGACCATTGAAGGAAACCAGATGCGTGGTGGTATCCTCTGGATGGCGATGCCGTGAGGGACTTGTCCGATAACATAGCCGGCAGTGGTCATCGAAAGCAAAACGTTGTACTGGCTACCACTGAGGTCCAGGGCTTCTTTGAGACCGGAGACCTGCAACTATTAACACATAGCTCTGAGGTTGGTAAGAAGCCAGCACTGACATATGCGTTGGCAAAAGCAGCACGGTCCAGGTAGTTGAAGAAGAAGCTCACGCAGCAGTATGTGAGGATGAAGAAGTCTGGTACCAAGGTCGTCAGTTAACTCATCACTCGTTGCAGCAAACTAAGTAACTCACCAAGTTTCTGAACCAGCCATCGCTCTTCCTTGCTTGATGACTCTTCACCCAGAACCAGGACTATGATAGTTAGCTAATCAACCTTCGCCTGGTGAGAGAAATTCAGAACACGCACCCTTGATCCGGTGCGGCAGCGATGTTCGTTGTTTGGACCCATCCATTACATCCATTATTCATTCAAAGTATGACGATTGCTTGAGGCTAATGTGGAGGCAACAGTGATGGTAAATTGACACCTGCGCATTGTGATGCGGATGGGATGCCGGCTCGTCGTTTTCTATTCCTCTGCATTCATTGGCGCCTCTCGCCTACAATCCCACATGGGGTTAACATCCCTGTTGCCGAATGATGAACCCCTTCCCGATTGGCTGTGGAAATCACGACGGGTATCTCAAATCCTCTATCTCTGTGGTACATACGCCATCCTATCTCATAGCGCGCGATAAGGTACGAAGATAGCGGATGTGTTGGGGTAAGTCATAATACTCACTCCGTACGATAGGAAAGCAGTTAATCTTGGCCAGTCATGATGTTGCCGTCAACGATGCCCTTCGGGCCGTGTGCCATAATGGTATTCGAACGGAATTGACCGAGGTGAGATGTTGCTCGATCAAACGCTGCAGTTGATAGATAACGTACAATAGCCATGCAACATCAAAGACGATTGAAGAGCACAGGTATAGGTGCCTGCTTGCGATTCCGGTTAGTTCATCTCCCAGTCACCCCAAAACTCCCCCGTTCATCAGTCCCAAACCACACAATGGCGGATGACGAGAGCACGCCTTTACTGCGAAATGATCCCAAGCCACCAAAACCCAGAGCTGCGTTTTCGGCAGAGAACAATGTACTATTGGCTGGTTTCCTTATTTCTGTCGCCCTGAGTTTTACTCAAGTACCGTGAGTATGGAGGATAGCAACCCCAAAGACTGCTAGTGCTAATAGTATAAGCATTCTTTATGTTTTCCGTCTTATGGAATGTGACGAGTTTTACGGACACCATGACACCGGCGGCTTGCTAGGCGACCGTTGCAGTCGCAGCGAGATCGACGCAGGTACCGCGACGCAAGTCTCTATTCTTGGCCTTTCGACGATGTTCTGCAGTGTGTTCAATCTTTTCTACGCCGGTTCGCAGATTAAGAACTGGGGTCCAAAAGTTGCACTTGTCCTGCAGACCGCATTTCCTGCTTTACGAGTTGGAATTCAGGTTGTCGGAGTCTCAGTTGGCACCAGGAGTGGAATCATCATCGTTCAGTGTAGCCAACTGATCAGCTTGGTTGGGGGAATGTCCGGATACTTGCTCGTACTCAACACAATTGCAGGAGAGATTACTCCCCCCTCTGAAAGAACCGCTATATTCGGCATGCTCCAGGGCAGTGTCATGTTAGGAACATCGATCGGATATCTCCTCGGCGGTATTGTTGGCGACATCTGGGGTATTACACGACCCTTTGAAATTGCAACCATCTTATTCGCATCGTCAAGCTTGTACTCGTCCATGTTCATCCCATACATCGACCCAAGAACACCTGGTATTGCTGGCGGCACATCTACCAAGCGACAAGGGTGGAGCAGATGGCTTGGAGCTTTGAGAGTTATTGCCCCAAAAAGGCTTCGACTGGAGGATGGACGACCTACCAAACACTACGGTATCGCATTCCTGGCTTTGGGCGTGTTCTTGGGTGTCTTGGCAACTGGCTATGCGCCGATTCTTATCCAGCTCTACTCTACGGCGGCTTTCAACTTCTTGCCCACGGAAAACAGCTACCTGATGGCGTCCAACTCGCTCATACGCGGTGTTTTTCTTATTTTCTTATTTCCTAAAATTATCGATTCCGGGCGAAAGTGGTACATTGAGCGGTCCGAAAAGGAACTCCCGAGTGAAGTCTTTAGAGCTCAAGTCGTAGTGGACACAGAAGCAGGTGTCACGGCGGACATGCAACCTAAACCAAATAACCCGAGTGAAGCAACTGTCTTCCAAAGCGTTCCCGGTCATGGGTTTGATATTTCTTTCTTGCGATGGAGCTTAGTAGTGGATGGGCTGCTCACAGCCTCAACTGCATTCGCAACCAAAGGATGGCACATCTATCTTGGTAAGATATTCATGTTGAAAGCGGTCTCGATGTCACTGACCAGGACTACCAGCCGGGTTATTATTCCCTCTGGCGTCTGGATCCGCACCAGCCAGCAAAGGCGTCATCACGGAGATGTGTGAACCGTCTGAACGGGCGGATGCCCTGCAAGCTATGACCCTCGTTGAAAACATCGCCATGCTATCAACTCTGGGCTTGTTTGGTTTCATCTTCTCAAGCTTCGCTGCAATTGAGAAGACATATCTAACCTTCTTTTGTAACGCGGTATGCTTCTTTTGTAACCTCTGCTTGGGGATGTGTTTCGGGGCTGACAACATTACAGGGGGTTGCAATGGCAGCGGTGGCTGTGTTGCTGTTGTCTACTTTCCCTCCTCGGAATAGTCTGCCGGATGACCAGAGTACTGAAGATGAATAGAAGATGAGCTGCTTGTGCGCCAGCTCGGTATCTTTATGCTAAAAATCAAATTGTATACAAAATTGTTGTGTATTGTTACCCAGGCGAACACTTTCAGCTGACCAGGCAGAAACCTGGGCTCTCCATATTAATTGTTTACCTCACTATGCTTAACCCGATTAAATAATTTCAAAAAGAATAAATCAGGCTGTTCTACTATTCTCGTTACCGTTCCATGTTGTCGTTGCTGCTGTCATCATCGCTTCTGCTTCATAATCACTATCCGCTCTGACAGCCAGAAAAACCCGCCCGAATAACGAACTCCAAATTAGGAGACAACAGGTCACAAATGATACCTAATCTGGTCGCGAAGTGAGACTAAGCTTACAAACTATCGATCATTGTTGTCACTAGTGATCAGGGCCATTCTAGCGGCCCGCGTGGAGTTTTGGTCGGAGGAAGATGTATCTGACTTGTTCTGAGCCTCGCAATCCGACTGGGCAACCATACTGCCAGCAAGTGCTGGCCATGACTTGCGGGGGGGCGGTGGCCAGTAGTCTTCAACTGCGGGGTCATGTTCAAGTTTGTGCGGGGATCGGGTACATGCACCCGAGATAGGGGTTGATAAGGATTGCAGTGGGAGACGCCGAAAAACCACCCATAAAACAGTATCCGATGCTCTTTCCGAAAGACCCAGAAACTAGGACAGAAAACATATCCGATATTGACATGCCTGCCGAGCCTGAGACCCTGCCACTTGAGACGACCAGCCGACGGAAGAGGCCTCGTGTACCGGATGACCAGAGGAAGCGGGTTAAAATTGCGTATGCCCAAGACACATCCGGCATTTCAAGTTCATTCACAGGCTAATGACAATAACTCAACTAGTTGCAAGCCTTGTCGCCGAAATAAACTCCGTTGTAATGGGCAAGCCCCCTGTGACAGATGTCAAGGCGCCCAACGCCAGTGCCAGTACTCTAGCAGCGATACGCCTGTAAATTCAACTACGCGACCATGTTCCGACCCAACATCAGATGTAGAACGAAAATATCGTGATGAAGAGCTTCAACTTTTGCAGGAGATTTTTTCAAGAGAGCATCCCGATGTCCCCATGGAGACCGAAGCTTTAAAACGTTTGCATTCGCACTTGGTCGCCCAAAGGTCTGATTACACTGCTGGTGTTCAGTCACAGAATGGGACTTTGGATGAAACCACAAGTCAGGATATAATCTACTGCGATGTGGTATCAACACATGGTGCCTCTGTGACTGTAGTCAATCAAGGCAAAACCCGTGAGCAAATTCTCTCGAATGCATGATAAATGATGAGAGGTTATACTAACACCGAGCCTTGCTAAACAGATTTCGAGGGCACGTCTTCTTTGTGGTCATTCTTCACCTCCGTGCAACAAGTTTTCGCTGGTGATGTAGACGAAGAAAATGAGAACAGAGATGCGGTAGGTCATGCTTCTGTCTGTTCTAGACAATTATCAACCCCCGTCGGCAACGGCCCGCTAAGGTTTCTTCAGGACTGTCGAGACATCAGTCTGCACCAGATCTCCGACCTAAGCTTCGGAACCGACTGGAGAACTTCGGTCAATGCGGCTCTCCCGCCCCAGGAAGTTGTGGATTATTTGACTGCATCATTTTTCGAGCACGGCCAGGCAAATTATTTCTGCGTCCACCCGGAGATATTCTCTCGCAAACTCACGGCCTTTTATGACGGCACGCACGAGTTTGAGGCAAGAGACTCTCGGAACTCCCGGCAATCGGTTGAATTCATTTCCATCATGTTCATGGTTCTCGCCATCGGTAGCCAATTTGCGGACACTGGCATTACCCCAAGTCTCGAGACGTCTACTGAATCAAATCGACTGCTAGTAGAAGAAGGACTGCATTCACTGCAAGATATTTCCCGCATCAAAGTTCCCGTCCCAGCTCCAAACCTTGGCTGGCGCTTCTACGAGGCTTCACGTAAGCTCCTTCCGGATATTATCTGCTCGTCGTCAATGGCCAGCGTTCAGGTTTGCGCTCTTCAGGGCATCTATTTGCCGAGCACGGGCAGTCGTGATGCAAGTTACAACGTTCTGGGGTTGGCTTTACGGATGGCCATCAACATGGGCCTTCACACGAGCTTTGCAGCTGCCTCGCTACATGCGCATGTTCGTGAGTTACGGAACAGATTATGGTGGACGGTTTATGTTGCAGAAAGGCTATATAGCGTCGAGATGGGACGACCGCTGTCCTTGAGCGACACCGAGATTGACGCTCCGTATCCGGTGGAGACTCTTGGATGGAACCACTGTGACGGTCTGATTGCAATGGCCCAGATCTGCCACTTGCTCGGTAGGATCGTCGGGGCTGTCTACGACAGAACAGCCGCAGAGAAGGGAACGATCATACGGCCCAAGGTCATTCACCAACTCAAACGCGATTTGGACCAATGGAGGCGAGACCTTCCGAAGCATGTCCGTCTCGAGAGCTTTACAACAAGATCTGAGGCCCATCTAGCTTTGACGTTTGAGCAAGCTACCATATTGCTGACACGATCATGCCTCAACTACAACGCAGCCACGAGGAAATCCGATAAGCCTCTGGCCCCGAATGCGACCAAGTTCCTAGAGCAGCAAGCTCAGCAATGCGTTGACTCAGCCGTCGCGTGTATCAGAATCATGTCCAAGCTGAAGTCACTGTCTCTTTTGTGCGCTCCGTCTTTCCACGATTCGCTCCACTGCAGCTCAGCCCTTCACGTGCTTTTGCTTGCCAGGGTTAGATTGGCGGGTATCATCGCTGCGCCGATGAGAATCATTTCTCAGGGTATACTTATTCTCGCGGAACTGGCCATGGGGAGCGAAGCCGCAGCTTCGAGCCTGAGAGGAATCGTTCGTGCTATGGCGAACGTTTCCACAAATACAGACCGACAGCATCACGAACAAAGTCACGCGTCTCTGTCATTACGGAGAGATCAGACACAACGGCAAGGAAGGAATGCTTGGAGAAATTGGATCACCTCTCAATCTATGTCTCAGTCGCATACAAGCTTCATCGTTGATACTCATTTGGATGTGAACTTCGACCGCAATCAACATTACGATGTGCGCCAAGAAGGTAGCGCATTAGCGATTGGATCACCGTTGGACTTCTCTTCTAGCTACAGTCAAGAAGGAGCACAGCCAGGGGATGGAACAAGCATAGCCTCTGATCTGTCTGATATCACGTATCCCTGGGTAGCGGACCACCTTGAGTTTGACGTTCTGAGCAGAGATCTTGGAGGTGTTCCGGAATTTGATCTACTATGCTGACCCTTGCTACTTAATCCACAATACTGAGAACCCTGCATGTCCATTTATTCGCTTTAAAATGCTGCAAATGCCGAAGGGTCAACACTGCGTAGAGACAAATGCACGTTTAACACATTCCCTTGATTAAACAACTACGTCGTGATCAACGTATTGCCCTTTACCATAGTACCTCCATCGGCTGGCATATGCAACAGAGGTGTTGGCCGTAGTCGCCTCACCATTCGTAGTCCCGTAAACCCCAACTACGGTGCCGGTGTAGCCGCCACTCACAAGACTTGCCAAAGAATGCCCCACGACCGTCATCTTGGTATCTTCGCTCAGGTCTCTGCGGACCTGCCCCGCAAGAAAAATGTAGTGCGTGGTGTTTTCAGCCCTGACTTCCAGGCGCACAGCAGCGTCTGCTGCTTGAATTCCAGGCAGCGGCACTATGACGTCTTGCGGCAAGGTCGCATTTTCGTTGTTGCTAAATGATCGAAGACGTAAGCGTTTGCCGTCGACCACCTGATCATCTGCAATGATTGCAAAGTCTATATGCCGCTGTTCGTCTAGATAAACCGAGACTCCGGCTTCGTCTGCTGGGCCTCTTGGGTGAAATTCGAGGTCGACGCTGAAACTAAAAAGGGTATCGGTCTGTCTGCGGCCCAAGAACGTAATGATGCTGGGTGTCGTACTGTTGCGCGTAACCACCGAGGAGAGGCTTCTTGCCGATAATCCGAGTTGCAACTGATTTAGGTGTCCAGGAGGGGAAATGACGTATGCTGCCTCCTCTGGATAACGAATATGCAACCAATGTGTTGGGAAACCCGAAGAGACATCGAAGTCAACGACATCAGGCTCATCTCGTGTACCAGGTATATCGCTTGAATTGCCACTTTTACCAGGAAGCGATGTGCCCATCTGCCCCCTGACAGGCTCCAGCAGGCTTGGCCACCCTCCGACCTCACCCGGCCATGAAACAGGAAATAGCACAGTCTCTCTGCCCATCGGATATGACACAAAGTCTAGCCCTGATCGCATTGCAAGAGCTACTCCCCACCAAAGCCCTCTATCTTCATCTTGGAAAAGGTCGGCGTGTCCAACGGTTTGGAAGTACGAAGAATCGAGATGCTCAGCGATGACAATTGGGTTTGCGGGGTCGCTCTCGTAGGGGCCACCGACGGTAAGGGATCTCGCAATTGAACCGCGGTGGTTTTCTTTGGTTCCCCCTTCGGCAACGAGGATGTAGTACCAGCCATCTTTCTTGTATAAATGCGGCCCCTCAGCGGTGCCTAGACCAGTCCCATTCCAGGGGTAGCTAATGGGGCCAAGGGAACCGCTGTCCACGTCGATGGTGGCCAAGGCGATTGCAGTCCCAGTCGAAAGTGCAGCTGCTCCGGTGAAGTAGACCGTTCCGTCATCATCGAATAGCAACGATGGGTCGTAGCCAATGAAGTCAACTTTGGTCGGAATGCTCCACGAGGACGCGTTGTATGGGTCGGTGGTTGAGAAGATCAGGTTTTCCATGACAAAGTCCCTGTAGGAAGCAATATAGACGTAAGTAGTCGTGACATAGAACGTCCCATTGTGGTGGCGTATCGTGGATGCGAAGAGACCATCTTGTCCAGTTAGGGCGTCCGCGAATTGTGGTAGCTGTTCTCGCCGGTTAAGCACACTGCTTACGAGCTCCCAGCGGTGGAGCTCCTTGCTGGCGTAGACTGGAACACCGGGGAACCAGGTAAAAGTGGACGTCACGCAAAAGAAAGTTCTCTCGACATATATGCAGCTTGGATCCGGATGGAAGCCTGGAAGAATAGGATTGAAGTAGCTGGCCGTCACTCCAACGACCCAAAGCCAGAGAAAAGCAAATCCGTCCATCTTTGACGACTGCAAGGTAGGATGAGTTTGTTTCCCACTTTCGTCCGATCTGTGTTGTCCTGGGAATAATATATACTCCAGCTCAATTGCGAAGCAATCAACCAAACATACGTGCTGTGCATTCGCTCCCCGCTCGAATACGAAATACGACATAGGTATACGAAAATGATCTGGGAATACGACGAGACGCGGGGTGAAGTTGACCGAATACTTCACCAGTTAGTGGTGAATTACATAATACAACCGCAGGCAACCATGCAAAATGGGTGTCATTTCTGCCATCCAGAATTTCTTGCTCATCCGCGATTCGATCATTACACTACTCCCCACATTTCGGCACTCATTTCTAAGGTCAAGGCAGTTTAGATTAACATGTAGGAAAACTACCTTTTAAAAGTCTCAACTTAGAGAATGTCACACAGTTGGCGCCTCGCTAAGGGAGGAGTTCCGTAGGTGGCATGGGGTAGGTGGCATGGGGGAGTTCCGTAGGTGGCATGGGCGGAGCATTAGGCTTTTCTCGTTCCGAATTCTCCATTTGGCGGAAGTACTTTCTGCCGAAATCATGCTGGCATCAGAGACCAATCCGTTTGGAGTGGTTCTGCGTGGGAGAAGGATTGTTCGTGGACCGCATTTGATAGTCGATGCTCCTCGGGGAATGACAATCTCTCAAAGCTTAGAAACTCCCAATTTGCGTGAAACCGATGCCAGAGTCTACTGGTAACATGGGGCGAATTCCTCAAAATTGTCCACATGAGGTTTCTCAAGATAGGCGTCTGATTTGGCCCAAATATGACTATGACATTATCTGACGCATCCAAGTAAAATATCGGTTGTCGTTTTCTTCACCACGTACCTACCACGCACCTAAGTCTGTGAGCAACAACATGAAGTTCGTGGAGTTTAAAATTGAAAGACCCATCCTTGTAAGCAACGGGTAGGATGTAATAGGATGAAATGTTTACTTCAGTCGAAGTTATCCGCTAGAACCTTAGCCTTTGTGCTCACTGGCCACACGCATCTCTCGGGTGACGTCCCCATACGTTCCGCCCACATTCCGCTGAGTGCTGATCGCAACCCCTTCAAAGTCGACCAAGATGGACACCATGAAAATGGCTCTACCTCACAATTTGAAGTCCTCCGGAAAGCCTGCCTCTGACCATTCTTTGAATTTGGTCCCGCCGGCGGCCTTGGGCATCCTGACCACGAGGGGAACCTCGGCGGCTTCGTCCTTCCCACGCGCCTCAGCGGAGTGGACGATGCTCACGTGGGTGAGCCTCTCAAACCCCACGTTCGCGTACAGAGAGAACCCTGTATCCGAAGCTTCGGTGTAAATCGGTAGTTGCAACTGATCCGCAACGTCGGCCCCCCACTGCATGAGTACGCGGCCTATACCTTGTCTCTGGCGGTTGGGGTCCACAGCTATAGTCGAGAGGTCTTTTCAGACACATCAGCCGTTGGCACTCAACAGAAAGGCCGTGATGATGGTTAGGAAACTTACAGATGTACCTGCGCTTGCCAAAGAGCTGGACACGCATGTCCCACATGGGCTTCAGTATCGCCTCGCATTTCTTCTTGTCGTCACCCGTGAGCCACGGAATCCCCTCCGGTTTTTGGAATGCGTGCTCTTCGCCAGGTCGCCAGAAAATGTCCCACACCGCCATGCCCACGATTTCGCCCGTCTCGGTGTCGACGCACTTGACTGGGTGGCCGATCTGATCTTGCTTCCACCACTCATGCGTCCCTTCTGTGTGAAGTTTCCGGTTGACGCCATTGGGGTAGAGGAATCTCATTATGGGTTCATCTTTGAAAGCGGCGAACTGGATGTCGTAGATCCGTTCGATGTCTTCGACGAGAGCTGGTAATACTACAAAGGGCATGTTGAAGATTGCTAGATTGGAGGCGGAAAAGGTGGTAGTAGGAAAAAGCAACTTGTGGCGTGTGTTCTCTCGGGTGTGTGTTTTTTTGGGCAAATGACACGATGGCTCCTGAAAAAAGAAGTTGAATGGAATTCGCTTGACGCGTGGATCGATTTATTTCCGAGCTGTATCGGCCACCCGAGCTTTGCATTCGCCCACCTGTCTGATTTATTGAACAAGGAAGTTCGGAATTGGCACCCGTGAGTACGATCGCTTTGCTACCTAGAACACCGCTTCCCGAGCCCTTGGTGCCACCTTCATTTTAGGTATGCTGTACAGATCTTTTGGTAGAATACTCGCAGGCTTTACCATAGGCTATCCAAGCTATCGTAAGCTATCAGGAAATGTCACGCAAATGGGGAGACCAATGAAATCGATATCCGCCACGGTGGCAGCCCTATATTTGTGGAGAAAGCATGGCAAACGCTTGGCAAGACCCAGTGACCATATCAGTGGTTCGGTCCAACTTAACCTTCAACGGACACTACTGCGAGGCAAGAGCCCCTGAAACGGAGGCATACGAGACGGACTAACTGTTTCTGTGCATGTCACTCTGTCATCTGGTACCGAACTCCCATGTCAAACCCTCATCACGTCATCGATCTCCTCATCTGGGTGCCCCCGCCGAGGTTCAGGTCATGCCATTGTCTGACATTTCTGTACTCATCTCCCAAGCACACATGAGGGAATTTCCTCTCCTTCCAAAGTCAACTTCCTGCCGGTTGTTCCGATCATGAGACCCGATGGAGACTCAGCCATCATTCTGGCAAAGCCGTGCTCCGCTCTTCTCCGCTCAGTGCCGGCACCAAGATCGCCAGCCAAGGGCCTATTTGGTGCGTGGCAACCATCCTGAAGACCCCATAGCATTAGCGATCTGCTGCCAAGGCTTTGGCAGAGAGAGAAAATACCTGTTCTGGGCTCCATTGAACTCTCGCGCGGTTCGATCTTGAGATTGCCAGATCTCTTGGGAACGTTTGGGTTGCTGGTACCAGCTTTCGTAGTGCTAGTTCGCGCAGTACTAGTTCGTGCAGTACTGGTCTCTGTAGTGCCCGCAAAGAGAATAGGGCCACCTTGAAAGGTAGTCACAGCAGGGTTGGCTTGTCGGCGATGCGGAACGCCACATGGCTCTCCAACAGGAACCCTCGGGGCAGCTCGAAGGCGGGATGCAGTATCGTTTCGTGCGAGCTGCTGGCGCCTCTTTGTTGACGGCGACGGAGGCGATGGTGGTGGGGAGAGGTATTGAGATCTCTCGTTGGCACGTCTCGGCCGCCGTGTCGGTGGCTTGGCTTGGACATCTTCATCGCTGTCTGACGAAATTTCGATGATTTCCGGGTGTTGTTTGCGTTCGCTTGGGGGGGTATGAGGGTCCCGAATATTCATGAAGAGATTCCATGAGAACAAGAGCGTGTCGGGACCAAAAGAGGGGGGCATCTTGGCGGATTTTGCTCAAGCCTCTTGAGCATAAAAGAACGAGGCACCAGTTGTGATGGGAGGCGGAATCAGCCTAGTCTTTATGTTCAACATGATCGTTTAAGCTGAGAATGTCATTTCTCTTGTTTCTGTTTGGACTTGAGGCGTTGTGCTGTCAGTGGTGGATGCCTGCGTTGCTGTCTCATACAGCAACATGATGAACGCTTATCTTCATTCATATGTCTCAGAAAATGGAGGACTGGTATCTCAAACGATATCAAGCCAGAAAGATGTAGACAGAAACAAAAGACAGCGACTTGAAAGACAATACCGTACATGGCCAACAGCCTGTCTAGGGCCAGAAGCTTGTCCAATCACAACTCACATCAACATCTCGCTCATAGTGAGTGTTGTGCTCAGCATGCTCTCATCTGGTTCCATGCCAAAACTGACAATGTGCGGCTCGCCGTAGTCTTAGGTGTAGACTGACGCCAGCGCTGTCCAGAAGGCAGGCAACATGTATTCTTGATTGGTTGGAAGCGGCCGACCATGGTTAATCGTACGGCTCGTTGCATTAGTGTACTGCCGGGGAATCGGCCACCAATTGCAGATGCACTGTGGTGCGACGCTCTTTGAACCCCCAGAAGCCACTTTTAGCGTGCCTTTACCAGCGGGTAGAGCAGATTTGCTGGAAGCAGTTTCGCAGAGGTACCAGCAGCTGTTCAATCTCATAGGCCGTTGCCGGCTGTAGTCAAGTCCTGCTATCAAACGGACAGACAGGCGACTTGTCCACAACCAGAGAGGAGTACCAGTAAATTTAGTACTGGCCATGACGAGGTGTGCCTGGAAGGTTGAGAATTTGCCATCGTCCGTTCTCATTCTTTCTGACGGCTTTTCACAATCCCGCATAATCCTTTCCATCCCGGGCGAGAAACCATGAGACGTTTCGACGGGGTCTTAGTCCTTTTGGGTCATTTTGGTTGCATATATCCGGTCGATTGGAGGTGCTACATAAACTTCATTCAACTGCGCAATCATCACCGACACTGGCTTGCCGTTAAGATATATCTTGTCAAACTGCGACAGGACCTCCGGCTAAGCTTCCAGGCACTCCCTTGCCTTCCAGAAGAAGTGTTCAGCCTGAGCGGGCTCAGCCACGTGCTCGAACATCTCCGTCATCAGCCCCTCATGGCGCTTTCGGTTTTCTTCGTCGACTTTCCCCTGCAATCGTCAAGTCAGAATGAATTCTGTTTCTCAGGCGTACGCTCCTACACTAAGATAGCGTTCTATGAAGGGAATGTGTTACCTTCAGGTCAAAAGTGAGGTTGACTGTGGGTTCGATGACGCCTCCGCCAAAGTCGACGTCCGGACACATGTCTCGGAACTCCTTGCTGCGCTGCAAAGAGTCCTCAATTGATTTTGCTCGAGTATCACTCATTGGTGCCATTCCCGGGGGCATGTCAGCCGACTTCGCAGAGTTGACATCGCGTTCGTTGTTCATTTTTGTTGTGTAATTTAAGAAGGGACAGAGGGGTTGTGTTGGCAGCTGCTGTTGCACTCAACTGAGCCTTCCGGTTCGCAAGGTCGGGCTTTTTTATGTTGGAAAGGCTGTTGCAAGGCCGGGGAAGAATATGCGGAAGCGTGCCCAATCCAGGGGCGTGTATTGTGCTTAAGGATGGGGGGTGCGATGAAGAGGTGAGAACTACGTAACCCCCATCTGCTGCGCCGCAACCTCACATACCTTACCGTACGGCGGTAAACGGGGGCCATTCAGGGCGCTCTTGGAGGGGCCCCAACGAAGGAAAACAAAAGACCCAACACTGCATACCGGTACCAACATCGAGCAATCACTCTGAACGATGATTCAGCCTGCCAAGAACAAACATCGGGGGCCAGGCAGACAAGTACACAAAGGAGAACGTCAAACATAACACAGCCAGAATTGGGATTAATCCATAAAGTTCTCCCTGGGCAGATGAGTGCATAGCTAACAGCAACTTGTGTTGGTTACGCATATGGATGATAATCCCTCATGATTTACACTGTAGGCTCAACTTGCCATGATCATCCTGCCAGCCCAGCTGGGGCATTTTTAGGCAAAGCCTAATTTTTGTGTGCCTTTTGTCTAATGACTACCAGGAGCAGGAACTTTGCGATGAAATCTGTACCCGTAGGATTCTTGAGGGGAAGCATATTTTCACTGTTAGCAGATGAATACATGGGATTTACATAGCTCTCCCGAGGCTCATCCAGACACGCTGAAGTATATAAGAGTACCTTAGATCTTCACCAACCAAGTATCACTTGTATTCGTACCACACACTCAACTTCACGCCACCCTTCCTGGCCTCATCCGACTGAATGGAGCGCCTTCCGCTAGAGGTAGTGGCTCAAATCGCCAGTTGCCTCCATGACCTACACGAGGGAGAACGCATCCGACCGGCCCTAGCTACATCATCACGCTCCTGGCAATGTGTCATCGAGCCCTTGACCTTTGAATCCCTCCATATCACCAGCGATGGCGATCTAGAGACCTTTCATCTGGCCTTTGAGAGTCACACGCCACGTCGCCGCTGCCTCCGGGACCTTGGCCTAGACATCATTTTGCCACGATACAGCGTTGAACACTGCGCCAAAAACGAAACAGCCGACGATGGGGCCGCGAACGACCATGTCATCAGCCACCACATGTCAGCTTTGCTGAAGTAATTGTCCCGGTGGTTACCTGGCGGTAAGCTGAATCTAGTCCTCGCCATGCATTCGCCAATGGACGGTATCCATCTTGGCCAGGATAAGTTCGACAAGGACCGGTACGAAGTCGACCTAGGGAGGCGACAGGATACATTCAGCGAGCGCTACAGATACTCGTACATTCGCTCCGCCGCCACATGTCCGGCTGCCGTTCCCTGCGTCACATCCTTCTACGGCCATCTGGCGGGAGATGCCTGGACCCGGGCAGCATGGCGGCGCCCACACCGCCGTTTCCCAACCTCGAGCGCATCAATTGGCAGTACCAATGCGCTGCCTATTTCCTCCTCCTGCGATGCCAGAAGCTTCACGCGTTCGCCAGCGCAGTCGCCGGTTTTCAATCCCCATCCGAATGCGAGACCCTGTACAGCAACATCAACTCACCGTCGTACCCTGACAAGGAGAGACTGCTCAATCTCATTTCCGGCGACAACTCGCTCCCTGATGCGCTGCGCGACATCCGGTCCTCGGGACTGATGGTTTTCTTGAAGATAACCCATCTCTTCGCTTCGTCGATGGCTTTCGGCGTGGGGATTTCGATCGGGTTGAGCTTGCACTCTGCTGAGGCCCCTGTCCAGATGCTAGACTCCATGGTGTTGTGGCAGATCGCCATGATTTGTTGCGTTTGAAGGTGTGAAGAGGAACGACCGAAGCCCAGCGCAGCAGTCGCCGTCCCTTATACCCACGCTGACGGCATCAAGCTTCCCATCGAAGACCTTGAGAGAAGCCGTCTCCGCAGCCAGCATGACTCACATCGTGATTCTTCAACCTTCTTGGTAGTAGGTTCAGCCGAAGCCTGGCCGTACCCGTTGTGGCCCACTGGCCACTTTATTGGTTCACATAAAGAATTCCTCCAGGGCTCACCAAATGTCATCCATCATGAAGGATGGCTCCGTCATCTTTTGTGAACCCAAGTTCCGATCTGCCAAGCGCTTCATTTCGGGGCCGCCTTGCGGAAATAATTCCAGGAGAAATTTCCCAAGCGGCTCAGTAGGAAATCCACCCTCGTACTTCTTGACAAAATGGTACACTAATGGGGCATTCTCAGCTGAGAGATCCTCGTCCTCGTCATATCTTCTTGTAGCACAGATGTCCACCCAACCCGACGAACCCGGCCACCAGAGACTGCACCACTCCTTGTCGACTCGGACCCAAATATTTGCGTCGGCCCCGTGCAGAAGGAATAGTTTGATGAAAGACTCTGCAAGGTCTGCATCATCTTCATGACCCAAAATCACCCTCAACCACATGTGCCAACAGGTCAGAGTCATTTTGTACGTTTCTTTCCATCCGCGTACTACGTGGTTAGATCTGGCGTTGGGCGAAGCTCCAGCTTCAAAGTATGCAGCGAGTTCCTGATAAATTCTCGCTTTATACGCTCTTCTCTTCATCTTCTCATGATTTTTGTCCATGTCGAAATAGTCAAACGCACCCTCGAAGTATGTATCAAGAACAACATCCGGGTCGTTGCTCTTTTGTTGGAGTCGGCGAGCGAGTTGCATTCCGCTCAGAGAACAAAGCCCTTTAGAGGTGCCTATCTTTGCAGCTAGTAGAACCAACTCACTGTAAGCTGGACGACAAGCCTGGTGCACCGTTCTTGTCAGGCCACCACCCATAAAGCGAGACCACATATGTTCAACGACAGCTCCATGATGTTCCAGAACACGAGATAATTCCTCCAAAAACGCCAGGAAACGGGCTTCGGATACTTGGCTCAGCATAGAATGGTAGTGGGTGACCAGTGATTCAAAGTCGAAGAGAAAGCGTCTCCTCGCATAATGAACGCTTGGACGAAAGATTTTCATTATTGCGAGAAATGCTTGGAGCTTGAAGTCCGCTTCGTTGAAACCCATCGATTCGGCGCGCATTATCGTCTCAATCTGGGGTTGAGCAAGGAACTCGTAAACGGTCTTGTGAACGCATCTGATTCCCTTCTGAGATGGGAATTGGTTGTTGATTTTCCTCTCATCCTTATATTTTGCGTTTCTATGCAGATGATTGGCGTTGTCTTCGTCGTCCTTAACCTCAATAACGTCTTCGTCATTGTTATCGGGGGAATCACTAGTGTAGTAATCATCAACGAAGCCATATAAACCATCGTCGCTGTCGTTCCTGCTCTTTGCGGGCTCCAAACGAACCCCCTTTTCCGGATCTCCTGGTCTGAAATCCAATTTTGAATGCTTCTTTACCGCTTTTATGTCGAGCCCAGCTGGTGAATAACGCGGCTTATCGTCTGTGTTTAGGGTAAATGTATCCAGCATTCCCATGCACCTTTGATAGACCAATCGGCGAGTACATTCTAGCCTCTCGTCTAAAACAGTTCGATGCATCGGTTGAATCGGAAGCTTCAGTGCAAAGTCTTGGTCGTGTTCGTAGTCGTTGAGAAACGAATGGGAGATCAATAGCCACGGAGGGTGGTCATCGTCTGGTTCCCTCTTGCAATGGAGGACAGTCAAAAGCGATCGCATTGCCCTCATTCTGTCGAGTTTGCCTTGGCTTTCGTTTCCCATGGAGTCGAATATTGATTGGTACAGATCTTTGAGTTCGTTTGGGAGGGCGTCAACTTTCTCCTGGATATCTTCTAATTGGTCTCCAGAAAGAATGCTCCATTTCAGCCGTCGAAGCACGATCTTGACCCACAAGAACGATCCCTCGGCCTTTTCTGTGATGTGTTTTACCAGTTCCAGTATCTTGGAGCTTTTTTCCGAGTAACTTAAAAACTCCTCGTTTTCTAGTAATTCTTGGTTAACGTAGCTGGTGATATTGTGAGTTGTGATGTCTTGAAGCCGGATCTTTGGACAATCGGCTAGCTTTTGTCTGAATACCTCCCATTCTCGACTTGACACACAGAGCTTGACACTCTCTCCATGATTCCTGCCCCATTCGAGAAGTATTGCCATTAGATGGTCATGGTCTCCGTCGAGCTCATCAAGGCCGTCGATGTAAAAGGCAAGTTTGTGCGATGTTAAGAAGCTGGTTTGGTCGAGGAGCAATTTAAGAGCTACGTCCACGTCTGAAGAGCGGACTTGCAGCGGTCGTTCCTCCATGAAAGACTGGTAGTGTTTCGGAAACACAGTCTGTATCAGTGTCGGCACTTCTTCCAAAACCGAAAACAGCAGTGCACGGCGCATGCCATCATGAGACTTTTGCATATCCGTTCCGAGCTGCCAGAAGAAGAAATTCGCCATCAACAAGGCCTTTTCACCCGCCCAAGCGAGTAGATGCCTTTTCATCTTTGAGCTTTGGCAAAGATATTTCATAAGGGTGGATTTGCCTGATCCTGGCTTCCCAGAGATGTAGAAGATGCCGTGCCCGTGGAGAGACCAGGTCACAAGCTGCTGGCGCGCCTCTGAACCGAAAAATTTGTTCCCTTGAAGGGGCGAATCAGGGTCCAGAATCCAAGCAAAGGAGCTCTCGTGTGCCTTTTCGACCTCTTCAAATCTGTTTTTCATGCCATCAACCCGCAGCTCGTCAAGAATCTGCTTCTGCGCGTACTCGACAATACACGTTTTGAAGTTGCTGAAAACGTTGCGCATGACTCCAAGGAATCCAAGGTTATATATATCTCCAGCTCTATCCGACGGCGTAATTCTGTGCTCAAGGGCCTCTAGGTCCACCCTCAGGCTGTACCCTAGGTTGCCTCTGTCACGAAGAAGGCGTTTCAGATCGTGTCTGTGTAAATCTCTCAGCACAATGTTCTCAGGTCACTTTTTGCAAGTCTTGCTAAACTTACCTTATTACTTTTGTTATTCGAAGATAATTTCTTGACCGCCAATCTTCCAATTCGTCGATCAAACTCTGTTTTGCCTCCTTTCCTAGGACATATTTGGCCGAATTGAATCCATCCAATAGCGAGAGAAGCCGCACGGTGAGATCGTGGTATTTGTCTACACGAATGAGCAGCTTGGCCTCGTGGCCATCCTTTGCGAATTCCGGCCCGCTCAGATGAACGGCATTGATCTGTTCGTCGAGCAACTTGATGCGGCGCTCCAAGTCGATGTCGGCCTTCGTTGTAGCAGAGCCTGAATTCCCGAATTCCCGGGCGACTGTGATGTTCTCGGCGGCCAAGTCGAGGAAGTCGGCGACAGCGCTCACGAAGCCGATGATTTCAATCGATGTCATCATTTTGTCTAGCTGCTGATGACACCTGACAATGGTCTGTCTCGAGGAGGGTTTGTGTGATGTAGTCGCAGAAGTAGTGAAGGTCTGGTAGGAGCCAGTCTCGATCCGTGATTAGCATTGAATCACACCGGAAGAGGCCTCCGGCAGCGTGAGGACTGGTGTCACAGCGACGGACGCCCAGGGTGATCAATCGGCGGTAGAATATGCTCCCGGACTTCTGCTTGCCGGATGAGCAGAAACGCAACCGTTCCAATTGCTCGAGTCAATAATGAGGGGTTGAGTAGAAGATGGAGATGGACGGATTGTGTGAGGTTGATAAATCCTTGGCACCTGCTATTGGCACAGCCGAGTCATCTTGAGCGGCACAGTCGATGTTGGTTGGAGAGGGGTGGTGGGTGCCAGCCAATGACAACGCAAGGCGGACTGGGGACACTTGAATGCACCTCTCCTGCTGTTGTTGGTCGCCAAGACAAGACCTGCCAGCAGCCAAGTGAAGCATTTTCATTTTGGACTCGCCAAGGCGTTGGGAACTTCGTTTTACGCCTATGGCATCACCTCAACCAATCCTAGGGGGGTATCATAACATCTGGTTTCCGGAGAGAGTTCATTCTTTCCTGAGCATCTGCATTCACTGCCTCGTCACTAAAAGCCTGCATGTATAAGCAAAAACTAGTTGTATTCGTACCAGAAAACCCTTCTTTTCAATTTCGAGCTCAAAGCTTACTCCGTATGATTCCGTCAACTGAATCCAGAAACCGACCCTCAATACTGTCAGGTATCTGGCTTGTCTGGTTGGTACACAGCACTGGGAATGGCGGGATCTCGCTCATCAACAGACCTACCTTTGGATGGTCGCATATTAGGAGCAAGTTGTTTTTAGTATGGTCGTCTCGCATGAGAGAGGTATTTACACTGGAAATTAGATCACACATATTGCTGCACCAATTGACTGGCTTCTCATGGAATCACGGTAAAAGGATGATAACGTTGGCCTGTTAAACATGGTTGAGGCTACTCTTAGACCTGTGTTTATCATACGTATACTTTTCATTTTCTTCTGTAGCCAATTCTCTGGTTTCTTTGGTTAGCAAGATTTCGCGCCCAAAGGCACATCAACTGTGTTGTTCAAATGCCTCAAACAAGCACTCTCAAGCGAGCCTGAACTATTCCAGGTACGTACTGAGCTTGTTGCCTGGGCGCTAGCAGCTATATGTCAGGGGTCCCCAGCTGTTCGCCTCTTGCATCTTCGTTTTAGTCTCCTGGCTTTTCTAATCGTTAACGCGTTCGCTTTCATAGAATGGATGAATAGGGCCCAATCACATTGATAATCGCGCAATTCTCGTGGAAATACTGCCTAGGCATTCGCAGGCTACCATCCGCGCTAAGTATGCTGATCGTCAGTAGTTCAGCAACATGAGTCAAGAGAAAGCCGACGGCTTGTACTTAAGGGACGTGCTTCGTCTGTTGAACAGATGTCTGACCTAAACTGTCAATTTAATGCAAGTATTTTACTTGACTCAGCCTTCTAATTGTATCAACGAACTCCTGTTTCTTTCTCTTTGTTTTTTGCACTCGTTCATCATGTCCGACAACCCAGGTGCTTCTTGTGCCTCATGTGGTGCGGCGAACCCAGCTGCAACCCCTGTGTTTCCCAACGACCCTCTGCACCAAGCGGCTTTTGGCGATGACATCGAAAGCCTGCAAGGGCTCATATCTGCAGGGGCTGATTTATCCGCCGTTGTGACCGCGAGAGGCTGGACAGCGCTTCATCTTGCGGTTCAATCGGGAGGTGAAGTGACTGTGACAGCCCTGCTACAAGCCGGCGCCATTCCATCTGCGGCAACGAGCGATGGAGTAACACCTTTGCATAATGCTGCTGCTGGTGGAAGGGTCGCAGCGACCAAGTTCCTTCTGGACGCCGGAGCCGACATGAACGCACGCAACATCGACAACGAGACACCCTTACATGTGGTGGCCTTGTTTGGAAATATGCAAATAGCAAAGCTACTGGTGGACTCGGGCGCAGACGTGTCAGCCAAGGACTGTTATGGAAACACACCCCTGCACATCGCTGCTTCGCACGAGCATCTACACATTATTCAGGTCCTTCTGGATGCTGGTGCTGACATGAACGCGGTAAACAACAGCGGAAACCCTGTGTTGCACCATGCTCTATCCGATTCCCCAGCTGCAACAAGACTCCTCATCCAAGCGGGAGCGGACACCTCTCTTCGCGGCCAATTCGGCACGACACTTTTGCATCTGCCAAAACATTCGGAAGGGCTGTTCGACGTTCTTCTCGACTGCGGTGGTGATCTAGAGGCGGTAAACAGTGATGGAGCAACTCCACTACACGAGACCGCTGCGTACGGCACTGCAAAGCACTTGCAAAGGCTCATCACTTCTGGTGCCAATGTGAACGCCACGACTAAAAAGGGAGAAACGGCACTACATTTGACTGCGGGGGACCCAGATGCCTTATACTTGGGAGAAGATGGAGAAGCAGAGGCGAAGGCAAAGTTGCTGGTGGCTGCTGGGGTCGACGTGGACGCGATGGCAACCTCGGGGGAGACAGCTTTGAATCGTGCATTGATATGCATTCGCGTTACGGTTGCAGGCTTCATCCTTGAGACGATGGCCCAAGAGAATAGGTAGCCTGTCACTCTAGCCTCAGCACAGGCCATCAAGTCGACGTGGTCTCATGTTGATGTGTTGGATGTGCAAGCCATGTCAGCCAGTCGACGCCATATTGTCCGTCCACCCGCCAAGGTTATATTAGCATGTGTAGAATCGACGATGGCTCTATCCACTTTGGTGATTATGCAACAATATGGGCGAAATACATGCCTCCTTGTCATTTATCAAACAATCACAGAGTCAAATGTTTATAACGAATCAAACAGAAGATTATGCGCACGAGCAAAAGATTGCTCCTTGTTGACGGGTGTGGTCTGCTCATTATCATCATTATCGCAGCCAACTCTAACTCTCCCCTCGTCAGCACATTCGCTATGTGTTCATTACAATGGACCGTTGGCCAGCATCCTATCAAAACTACGGGCTTAGTCAAGGGCCCGAATCGCAAGTCTCATTACCGACACAATCCTCACTCACATGGGTCGGAAAAATGATGTCCAATTTCAAGTACACATAACCGAAGCAGAAGATGGCGTTAGGTGAGTGCTAACTCCCCAACATATATCTGGTTTCGAGTCAAATTCACTAGGTAGGGTACAATAAATTGTCAACGGATCGTCTCTGCTTATCCCAGTTTAACAACCTTCCAATTCCTTAGACATTCCTTCAGGTCAGGTGACACATTATTTGGATGTTCTTGAGACTTAGCAATTATCGCTACCACCAACGTTGCTTTAGTAAAAGTCTCTGGCCTCTCTTGGAGCTCAATAATGTCGTCTTCGCGCATCCCACTTTGACTCTCCCAATGCTTCCAGCGATCGAGCATCGCGCAGATTGAATGTGAAAACTGCGGGTCTAAGATCATTGAGCGGACTATTTCAAGTACCACATCTTCCAATTCGGTAATGTTGCCAATGCGTTCTTGATTTCTGAGCCAAGACAGACCGCAGTCTGCGACGCGGATGACAGTCCATTTAGGGCTCTGTAATGCCTGTTGTATTTCAAGGTCTTTGTTTTCCCGTTCACGAATGTTGTCATAATCTCCTAATGCCGATGTTAACGTAGACCTCGTCTAAGGTCGTCAATCAACCACTTACTTTCCAATCTCTGTCGTCGGTGATTCTCCTCGAAACGTCGACCTACGACGGCCTCGCGTGCTTCCAAAGGCAGGTCTTTCTCCAGCTCTTCAGCGATGACTTCCTCCTCAATTCTTCTCGAGGTCGACAAGAGTCCGTACTCCCAGGCATGATTCCGTATTCGCCATGCCGGTGTTTGTGAGCTTTCAATTATTCCAAGGAGCTCCAAAACGCCGCATGGAACGGTCGCCGCTCGACAGAACAGTGCCATGCGTTCGGGAATATCAAATTTCCACGTCATGGTGTTGTGGGATATCTTCAACGCCGTAACAATGGCGGCGAACCAAAGGCCTTCAGAAGAAGCTTGATTCCGAACAAATAAATGTCCTATTGGAACCTGGGCTTCAACAGTGTCTAAAGACATACTTGGGTAGGATCGTTCGTAAGCGGTCGTAATGCCAATTTCAGAAAACTCGCATATTATCTCTGCTTTTTCTCCAATGTAGTTTGGGGGTTCAACTGGAGCGATCGGATCTTCCTTTGAAGGAATGCATATTGAGTAGAGAGGCAAAATTGGCCGTTCTGGTGGGTTCCAATCATCCTTCCAGTAGGTGGTGAGTGCGAAGGATAGTTGACTGTCTGCATGCCCGAAGGAGGTTGTAATAAGTAATGGCTTGCGCGAGTCCGTAGGAGAGCTCATTAAAGCAACATTAGGGGGGGTCCATAGACCGCTCAATCGTAACTTTCTCCAACCAGTACTGTTTGGAACAGCACCCAGATCGTAGAGATATGTGACAAGATCCTCGAAGTTAATCTCAGCCTGGGGCTGTCGGAGCTCATCTGGGTGCTGGAGTCTCTGGGTTTGATCCGGTAGTCTTCGCTTTTCCCAGTCCAGGATAGCCCATGTCCCACCTGGTATGTGCATCGCGTGGTTATCCTCGCAAATCATTCGGATATCAAGCCCACGGACCTTGCCCCAGAGGCCCCCGTTTCGAGGTTCCATCGGCCGTTTAGGCGTGATGGCGAACCTTTGGTACTGAACTTCTATGGTCCTCGTAATTCCATCAGAATGCACTTTAGCAGAGATGTTGTTGCGCTGGAGCTTGGACTTAATCAAGCGCGAAGATCTGAACGTCATGAGCATCGTCCATATTATTGGCAAGACTCCAGCAACTGCCAAAGGCACACCAACATACGTGATGATGTTGCCTGCCAAGTCACTTGAATTCTCTGACGAAGACATGGCCCGAAGAGACAACAATGTTGAAGATGGTGGATGCAGGCGAAACTGGAAATGCGAGGGGTCCAGTAGAGCGCATTTCATTATCCGCATGATTGTTTCTCGCTGAACGGAATCTGGGTTTCCTGTCAATGACGGACACCACATGCAGTGGAACAAAACAACACAGCAGTAGGTGATACGGAAATACGCGAGTAAGCAATATATGCAATGCAAGGGAAATCAGCCAATCGGACCCTCCGTATGATATGCAGACATTATCACAAATGGGATGATATCACATTTCAGGCAGACAATTCGCATATACTATCTAGGTGGTGGCTAGAGGCGACTACGGTGTGGCCTAATGGCGTTTCTTCTTCCCTCCATTGGCAGCCTCGTTTTTCACCGATCAGGTCATTGAAACTTGGATATATGACAGCCTTTTAGTGTCGTTCCTTTGCCCGTCGGACGAAGGCAAGTACACAGCTAAAGATCGGCTAGGTTGATGTGGCCGACACTGACCCCTCAGTTCTTTTCCCCCGTGGACTCTCCCTTACCTACACCTGCGGGTTTTCTTGCTTTCCCTTCTCACATACACACCTCCGAGTCCACGATTAAAATGTTTGACGTGTCGAGGACTTTCATGCATTTGCTAAAATGCTTCGTCGTCACATTCATTATAGCTATCGTGACGCGGACCTACTACCAGAATAAGAAATGCAAGTTGGTGCGTTCAAAGCTTTGATTTCCTCGAACTGCATCTACAAAAGGCTAACAAAACATACAGGAAGAACAGGCACTGATAGCTCAACACGGTTGCCAACCTGTACTCGCCACTCTGCCCTACAAATGGCCCTTTGCAATAGATCTACTCAAGCTTCAATATGATGCACTTCCGGAAGGCCGCTTGTTAGAATTTCAGACCAAGTACCTCGAAATTGCCCCAACGCTTCGATTCGATATTCTGGGCACAGGATTTGTTACAACTGACCCTGCCAATATTGAAGCTATTACTAATAGCCGATCGGAGGACTTCATTTTAGGATCTCGCCGAAAGGGCCTCTACCCTCTTCTAGGTGAAGGGATTTTCACCCAGGACGGCTTGGCTTGGAAGCATTCTCGCGAGATCCTTCGCCGTCAATTCGCCCGCGTTCGGGAAGGGCGCTTGGGTGCACTGGAACCACACGCAACTGAATTGACCAGGGCAATTGCAATGGAAGCAAAAGAGAACCCCGTCGGAATTGTCGACCTGCAACCACACTGCTTCGAATACACTCTTGGAACTACGACAGACCTTCTTTTTGGTGAATCGCATAGTAGTCTGCCCCAAACTTCTCGACAGTCCCTGCGTGATGACTTTGACTACGCTGTCATGGTGTCCGCCCTGCGTTTGAGATTGTGCGACTTTGCGTGGCTTTACAACCCAAAGCGGTTTCGCGAGGCTTGCCGCGGTATTCGTGAATGGGCGTCTTATTTTGCTGACAAAGCAATCAACTATATCGAAGATAACGGCGAAGACAGTACCAAAAACAAGTACGCATTCATTGGGGATCTCTGGAGAAGCTTAAAGGACCGTACTCTGGTACGCGATCAATTACTACACGTTCTGATCGCCGGGCGAGATACTACCGCCTGTCTGATGAGTTGGACATTGTAAGGCAAAAGTCCTTTGACGACCATCAAAAGGTCATTGAATTATGTGCTGTGCTGATAGCAAAAGCTTCCATCTGGTTCGGAACCCACCACTTCTCGATCGTCTGAAGGAGGAGATAAACACAGTCTTCCAATCCGATGATCAAGAGATCACCCGCAACGATATCCAGAAACTTCCATTTCTGAGCTGCTGCCTTAAAGAAAGTATGGCTTTGACCTGTTTTGTCTGTGCATCATAATAGCTCTCAAAACTGACATCTCGATTCTCGATGTAGCTCTCAGACTTTATCCACAGCTACCAGTCAACCAGCGTTACGCCGCACGTGACACTGTTCTACCACGGGGTGGAGGACCCGACGGCACTTCTCCTATCCTTCTTCGTAAGGGCAACGGTGTAGGTTGGTCAGCATATCACCTCCACCGACGGGAGACATTGTATGGACCTGACGCCAAGGAATACCTACCGGACCGGTGGGCAAGTGGTGAATTGATTCGTAAAGTTGGTCTAGGCTCCGGCTTCTTAGACTTTCATGCGGGCCCGAGGGTTTGTCTCGGTAGTAAGTTATTTCATAGCCAGGTTGGCTTCAGCTACATGCCCACTACGATGCTAATAGGTGTTTTTGTAGAAGACTATGCACTTATGGAAGCTAGCTATGGAATCATTCGGGTTTTGCAGAAGTATCCTTCCATGAAGCTGCCGCCAGGGATTCCGAATCTACCTGTTGGGGGGGAGAAACAGAATATGACTTTAGTTCTTTCTAGTGCTGATGGCGTGAAGGTCCTTCTGGCTTAGAGGGTATATAATCTTGGACATGATAGATCAGGCCAGGGCTCATCTCACTCTCTTTTTGACAGGTTATCTTGTGTAATGGGTTTGAAAGCAACTGTACCACATGCCAAATAATGGATGGCTAGCCTAATTAAGCACTGAAGATGCGGTAGAGAAATGTAGCGCACACGATGAAAGACCTCTGCTCTGTCTGTCTGTCTGTGTGTGTATGTGTGTGTATGTGTGTGTATTCAATGTCTGGGGCACCTCGGTACTGAGTAAAGGTCGTTCCAGTGTCTATATTTGTCAAGAATACATATCCTATTGCTGGTGCATCCCGGTGGCTGGGGCAAAAGGGACGCTCGGAGTGGAATCTTTCTTTTATGATGGCTGCGAATACAAACACTTACCCACACCTTACTTGCCTACCTGTTGTACAGCCTTTTAATTCACTCATTGTGTTGTCTCTTTTCAAGTAGCCTACCTTCAATTCATGCAGTCATCAATCTTCGGGCATCCGTGTCGTTTTCGGGTGTGGTTACACATACACGTACCCTTGGCAGTCTGGAAAAGGGGTTATGTTCAGACAGGCGCAGCCAGCTTACGCGTGACAGATTCAGTAATGGTCCCCATAGAGTGACGAAATCAGCAGCCACCAGTGCCTCAATCAAACTGATAGGTTCCAAATCCTGTCCGTTGCGGCTAGATCACATCACATGGGTTCCAATAACTCTGCAGGCTTGCTTTCGTGTAACCTTATGCCAAGAGTGATATGTGAGAAGAATCCGGTCTCTCCGTTGGGCCTTGATAATGAACAACACCTACTGCCTAATATGCCTTCCACTTCCCCTCTAGTCTGCCTCGTGTCCTTCCAAGGCTTTTGGGGCTGACGTGCCTAGAGAATTGGAACACGGGGATTGTTGTTCTGACCGCATGCCATAAGTGCACATGCGGCCGCATGTGCTACTGCCACGTCTGCATCCTGGTGCTCTTACTACGCCAAGTATTTACTTTTCTTCCGCCCTAAAACCTACCATCGATGATTGAATGACTCTATGCCCCCAGATCTTATCAGCGAATCAGTGCGGAAATCTACTTCACGATGGACGCATTTTCTTCGATGCTGGACTCGACACCGGAACTCCTCGCTGCAGCAGCCGAGCGTATTCGTTCATATCTTCTTGATCTTGAAAGAGGTCATCTTGACGATGAACCTATCGTTAGACTCAGAAGTAAGATCGAAGAAATCCAAAAGGCAAGCATCCAGGTTAAGCACGACAGAGAAAGCGAAAGAAGAGGTGAAAGATCCACACATTGTTGGACGCCACGGGACGTGGAGTGTTTCCGGAACGTTCGCTCGATTACCGATGCCATCATCAAGCGAACTTATGAAGATATTATAGGGCCACTGAGACGTCGCCTGTCCGAAAAACCACGCTTCGATCATGTCGGAGTCAAAGGCCTTCGACTGTCTGCAGATGACCAAGAATACTTCGACGACGCTTCTCTGATCCTCCAACATCAGTCGCAGACATTGGGCATATTGCATGACGCCTTCAGCTATGCATTTGCGGTAAAGGACTTCAATCCAAAGGGGAAGCACACACCGCGTGCACTTGATCTAGCCGAACGGTTGCAAAGCCAAGCGATTGATCTGCAAAAGTACATCAATCAGATTCCAAAGTGAGTTGTTTCCAAATACACGTTTTTCAACGATAGTGGTCTAATGTCCCTCGCATCAGGGACTGTAGGGAAAAAATGGCCGGAGACATCCAGCGGCTTGCAGGAACCCTTGATGCTGTAAACTCGCTGGGTCGTCCATGGCCTTCGCGCAGGAACCAGCATTTCTACATTGACAGGGATCCCGACACCAAGTTCATTGGTCGAGAGGATGAATACGAATCGGTACATAAGGCATTCTTTACTTCTTCTCCGGCTTTTCAAAGACGTTTTGTTATTCATGGAGCACCTGGGTCTGGCAAGTCTGCGCTTGCCCATCAGTTTGCAATTCGTGAGAGATCCAACTACTGGGGCATTTTTTGGGTGGACGCAAGTACTTACGAGTCAGCAAATGAGTCGCTGCGAAAGGTGGCCCAGATCGATGGTGTTCAGTCTCAAGACTTCTCGGCGGCCAAAAGGTGGTTATCTACTCGCGACGCCAGCTTCGAGTGGTTGTTGATAATCGACAATGCTGATGTGAACGACAAATGGATACAAACAATCTTTCCCGCGGGCGACAGAGGATCAATAATTCTGACAACTCGCAATCCCCATCACGTCATCCATGGGACCGTGGGGCATCTTCCTCTAACACGGATGACAATGGATGACGCCACGATGTTGCTCTTCCGGACAGCCAATATCTCTGAGCCGTGGATGGACTCGGATCGAAGTCATGCAGTATCAATCTGCAGATATCTAAAGTGTTTGCCACTAGCAATTGTTCAAGCTGGCAACGCTATTTTTCAGGGACTTTGCCACATTGGTGGTTATGTTGACTTCGTGGAGAACACCATCCGTCGCCTTCGGCGGCAGTGGGATAGGTTAAGACAGCATTCATCGAGACTTCCAGACGACATTTTCGCAGAAAACCAAGACGCCGAGTCAATCTTCGGGACTTATGAGATTCTGTATAAGTCTCTAGAGACCGCAGCAACTACACGTTCTTCTACCAATCAAAGAATAGCAAATACTTGTTCGGATGCCTTGGAAATCTTACATGTATTTTCCTATATGCACCATGAAAACATCCGTCTGGATGTTCTTGTTTCTGCTTCAGTTCTTCCGGTTGAAGAAGAAAAAGAAGCCGCCATCATCCAGAAAAAGGAAGACATTGTCGTCCGACGCCTGGGCATTCGTCCTCAACGGACTTGGCGTGCGGCATTGCAAGAAGCTGCGCTTCGTGCCTCAAACCGACTCGAATTGCGACCGGTTCTGCCCGAGGTATTGAAAAATCCCGATGCCCTCGATGCAGATGACCTGAGGTCAGAAGTATACAACCTTCTTCGGAAATCTCTGCATCAATTAGAGGTTCGAGGCTTGGTAACAAAGTTCGAAGGAGAGACGAACCATCGGGGGTCCGCGTCCAGCCAAGAAGCTCGCTATTATATGCACCCAATGGCGCATCGTTGGGTACGTGTGCGTAAATTTTCAGCTGCGGAAGATGGCCTTTTCTGTCAAATGGCTAAGACCATACTCTCAAGAGCTGTGAGACTCAAGGGGACCGATGGCCCCAACGAGCAGGGCATGCGACGAGAATTAAGACCTCATGTGGATCATGTCAGGAATCACGACTTAGTCGTTCCCCGCCTGATCCAAGACAGACGAGAAAAAGGTCGGCGTATGTGGTCTCTCTCTTTTATATTCTCCACCCTATGGCCCGACTTGACGACGGCGTACTATGGACAGACTCAAGCCCTCGAGGATGCTAAGTTTAGTAAAGTGTACATGGAAAGCGGAAACTTTCCTGAGGCGACCAGGTTGTTACGACAGGTCAATGCCTTCGTACTGGGCCGACTCGGCGCTGACCACGAAAAAACACATATGGCTCAGCTAGGGCTCGCTGCTTCTTTAACTCATCAGACCTTTCATAATGAGGCCGAGAGCCTTCAACGCCAAGTATACGCTTCTCGCAGATTGACGCTAGGCGCTGAGCACCCAAAGACATTGGAGATAATGCGCGATTTAGGGACGAACGTCCTCGGGCAGTCCTTTGTGGCAGAGTCACTGCGTCTAATTGAGACTGCCCGTGATGGCTTGGCGAGAGCATACGGGCAAAGCCACTTGCAGACACTGAAATGTGAAAGTCACTTGGGAAGGGTGCATTATTTCCGCCTCGATGCGGAAGAGGCCTGTCGGCACCATGAACGTGCTTATCGGGGGGCAAAAAGCACGAAAGATGCCATACCAGAGGAAGATTTCCTTTCTTTCCAGCAAGATTACGCTTTAGCCCTAGCTAGAGCTGGCAAGGATTTGGGACTCGCAGAAAGTCTGCAGAAAGATGTGCTCGCGCGGCGCCTCAAGGGCTGGGGTGAAGCCAACCAATGGACTTTGTTTTCCAAGGGCGTCTATGGCATCATCCTCGCCGGGCTAAAACGTTATGAAGAGGCTGAGAACCTGATGAGGGACGCACTTGACTTAGGACTGAGTACAATGGAAGAAAACCACTTAGGGTTATTGGCAGGTAAGCAATGGCTGGCACAGGTTCTGATGGACAAGGGCGATCTGGCAGAAGCCGAGGGGTATCTTCGGCAGGTGACACCAAAAGCACTTTACCGCGAAGCGAGTGATAATCACGGTGAAAACAAAGATCGCATCATGGCAGTTTGGATGTTGGTTCAATGCTTGGAGAAACAGCAGAAACTGGACGAAGCTTTGACATTCTGCAAGGAGATACAGGTCTCGTTTTTGGAGCTAGGAGATAAAAGGCTTGTTTCCAAGCATAAGCTGTACGGTATGATAAGCGAGAAGACGAAGGCTCTAGAAGGAAGAGTGAGAACAATGGGCAAGTCTGCCAGTCCGCAGGAAGAAGCACTCGAAACGGGAACTACTGCGGTTGTTTGAAAGCTGGCATACGCGAACGGTTGTCATTGGATCAACAATAATTTCACCTCACAAAGCTTGGATGGGCGTGGTATCGGTTATGTCATCGAAGGTCTTGAACGTAGACAATTGAATGGTATTTTCTCTTGTGGACTATACTTCGTAATAACAACTACAACCTGGATCCCTCCCAGCCCTTCATCGTGCGGGAAAGCTTACGGAGTGGGTGTATAGGTAGCGTCTGCTGGCAAGCTGGAAGCGGCAATTTCCGGGCCGTCTTCAATCAGATCATCATCGCCAGTATCAGTTGTTGATGGAGTCGGTGGGTTCGAGGTGGTGGGATCGCTTGCGGGCTCCGTGGGAGTCGAAGGAGTTGAAGGAGTCGCCTCAGGGGGAGACGACGAAGCGGGCTCCTCGGGCTGCGTAGGAGGCGTCGTCGGCGTCGGGGTATCCGCCGCGTTGCAGTTATCAGCCTCGGGGGC